TTTCCTTCCTTCCTTTTCTTTCTCCTTTCCCTTCTTTTCCCTTCTTTTTTTTCTTTTTTTCTTCTTCTTCTCCTTTCTTCTCCTTTCCTTCTTCTTTTCTCTCTTCCCTCTTTCTCCCCTTCTCTTCCCCTCTTTCTTTCCCTTCTCCTCTCCTTTCTTCTTTTCTTTTCTTTTCTTTTCTTTTCTTTTCTTTTCTTTTCTTTTCTTTTCTTTCTTTTCTTTTCTTTTCTTTTCTTTTCTTTTTCTTTTTTCTTTTTCTTCTTTTTTCTTCTCCTCCTTCTTCTTCTCCTCCTTTTTCCTCCCCTTCTCCCTCCTTCTCCTCCCCTCCCCTCCCCTTCCCTTCCCTTCCCCTTCCCCCCCCTCTCCTCTCCCCTCCCCTCCCCTTCTTCCCCCCTCTCCTTTCCTTTCTCCTCTCCGGTTCCCCTCTCCCTCTCCTCCCCCTTTCTTTTTCCTCTCTTCCCCCTCTTTTCCTCTCCCCTTTTCCTCCCCTTTCCCCCCTCTTCTTTCTCTCTTTTTTTCCTCCCCTCTCCCCCCTTCTCTCCCTCCTTTTCCCTTCCTCCTTCTCTTCTCTCCCCCCCCCTCCCCCCCTCCCTTCCTCTTTTCCTCCCCCTTCCTTTTCCCTTTTCCTTCTTTTTTCTCTTTCTCTTCTTCCCCCTCTTCCTTTCTTCCTCCTCTTCTTTTTCTCTTTTTCTTCCTTCCTTTTCCTTTTCCTTCCTCCCTTCTTTCCCTCCCTTCCCCTCCTCTCCTCCTCTCCTTTTTTTCTTTCTCTCTTTCTTCCTTCTTTCTTCCTTTTTTCTCCTCCTTTTTTCCTCTCTTTCTTCTCCCTCCTCCCTTCCCTCTTCTTCTTTTTCTTTTTTTCCCCCCCCTCCCCTTTCTTCTTTCTCTTTCCTCCCTTCCCCCCTTTCTCTTCTTCTCTTCTCTTCTTTTCCTTTTCTCCTCCTTTCTTCCTTTTCTTCCCCTTTCTTTCCCTTCCCCCTTTTTCTTCCTCTCTCTCTTTTTTTCTTTCTTTTCTTTCTTCTTCTTTCTCTTCCCTCCCTTCCCCCCTTCTTTTCCCCCCGTCCCCCCTCCCCCTCCCCTTTCCCCTCTCCTCCTCTCCCCTCCTCTTCCCTTCCTCCTCCCTCCGCTTTTCTTTCCCTCCTCCTTCTCTTCTTTCCTTCTCCTTCCCGGTTCCTCCCCTTCTCTCCCTCTTCTCTTTCTTTTTCTCTCCCTTTCTTCCCTTCTCTCTCTCTTTTTCTTTTCTCCTCTTTCCCTTCCCTCTCCTTCTCTCTTTCCCTCCCCCTCCTCTCTCCCCTCTCTCCCTTTTCTCTTCTCCTTCCCTTCCCTTCCCTCCCCTTCTCCCCTCCCCTCTCCCTTCCCCCTCTTCCTCCCCTTCTCTCCTCCCCTCTCTCTTTCTCCTTTCTTTTCTTTCCCTTCTCTTCTTCTTTCCCTCCCCTTTTTCTCTTCCTCCTTTTCCTCTTCTTCTCCCCCTCTTTCTCCCTCCTTTCTTCCTTTTCTTTCTTCTCTCTTCTCTCCTTCTCCCCCCCCCTTTCCCCCCCTCTCTCTCTTTCCCTCCTTCCCTTTTCCCTTTCTTTCCCCCCTTCCCCTTCTCTTCTTCTCTCCTTTCTTTCTCCCTCTTCTCCTTCCTTTTCCCTCTTTCCTCTCTTTCTTCCTTCTTCTTTTCTTTTCTCCTTCTTTTCTCTCCTCCCTTCCTTCTTCTTCTTTTCTTTCTTTTTCTCCCTTCTTCCCCCCCCTTTCTTTTTTCCCCCCTTTTTCTTCCTTCTCCCTTCCCGCCTTTTTTCTCCTTCCCTTTTTCCCCTTCTTCTCGGCCCTTCCTCCCCCCTCCTCCCTCCTTCTCCCTCCTTCCTCCCTCCTTTTTTCCTCCCTCCTCCCCCCTTCCTCCCTTCCTCCCCCCCCTCCTTGGTTCCCTTTCTTCCCCTCTTTCTCTCCCTCTTTTTCCTCGCTTTTCCTCTGTCCCCTTGCCCGTCCGTGCCCTCTTTGCGTCCCTTCCCCCTCCCTCCGTTTTTTTCCCTTTTCTCCCTTTTCTTCTTTTCTTCCTTCGCCCTTTTCTTTTTTTTCTTCTCCTTCTTTCTCTTTCCTTTCCTTTCCTTTTCTGCCTCTTTCTTTTCCCCTTTCCTTTCCTTTTCCTTTCTTCCTTTTTTCTTTTCTTTCATTCCTTCCTTTTCTTCCTTTTCTTCTCCTTCTTTTTCTCCTCCTCTTTCTCCTTCTCCTCCCCCCTCCCTCCCCTCCCTCCCCTCCTCCCCTCCCTCCCCTCCCTCCCCTCCCTCCCCCTCCCTCCCTCCCTCCCTCCCTCCCCTCCCTCCCCTCCCTCCCCTCCCTCCCCTCCCCCCCTCCCTCCCCCCCTCCCTCCCTCCCCTCCCTCCCCTCCCTCCCCTCTCCCTCCTCCCCTCCTTCCTCCCTCTCTTCCCTCTTTCCCCCTCCTTCTCCTCTCTTTCTTCCTCCCTTTCTCCTCCTTTCTTCCTCCCTTTCTCCTCCTCTCCTTTTCCTTTTTTCCCTCCCTTTCCCCCTTTCCTTCCCTCTTTTCCCCCTCTTCTCCCCTCCTCCTCCCCTCCTTCCCCTCTCTTCCCCCCTCCCTCCTCTCTTTCTCCCCTCTTTTTCCTTCCTTTTCTTCTTTCCCCCTCTTCGCGTCCGCTGCCCTCTAGCGCCCGGCTAAAATGTAAGGCTACAAAGCTCTACCTTTAACATACTAAATCTCTTGACACACAAACCTTAAGTAAACTTAAGGCAAACTAAAATTCGAAAAACGCCTCCCCCACAACCCACAAATACAAACACACGAACCAAAGGTTTCGTGGCGCTTATAACGCCAACAAAAGGAAAGAGGTAGATACAGGCAAAACCTGCTCCTCAAATTCTAGTCTTAGCATATTAAGATAAAATCCTATATTAATATAATATTCTTATTTTTAGACCTATTTGTTTATATCGATACTTTAATTTGCTGGGCCGAGAATGGGGGCCGTCCCAGCATTTTGTATAGCGGGGCGTCATGTTGCATCGAGGTCGGCTTCCAAGAACTCAGCCACGCAGTTATCCCAAATTCCATCGCTTGCGAGAGTATACATATACACACGACTATATTTCGCCGTTAGATGCTTTTGAAATTGACTCAGCTTACATGAGAGGAGCGTATGTTTGGAAATCTTTGGGTTGCACTATACTATTCATCTACAGAAGAGATGGCTTTTGATACACAAGTTGTCCAATTTGTCATACCATCGCGGAATGGCGGATGTGATCTATGCTTGCAGTACCCTTTCAGCCCTACATATATCACAGCAGTTACATTATAAGGCAGAGGGCTTTGCCACATAAGGAATACTGACTTAGCAAAAGAAGCCCTTATAATGCGCCCAGCCTTTTACTAACAGCCATAGGCGAGGCAGTCATCCATACAAATTAAGATATATGTTAATTGAATAAAGAATAGGACTTCAAGTCAGTAGTTTTATACCGACTAGTTGAAGTGTTTATATTCTATTCCAAATCTTTCTCAAGCAACAACCTCGAATATCTAATATCACTCTCCATTCCTCATGACAAATAACTCCTAGACAATCTCTCAATCCTAGATAATATTTACACTTACACACAGCTGCAAAGGAAGAAAGGAGTTTGCATTCAACTCATACGATATTGTCATACATAAGGAAACACCATGAGTAAAAGGCCGTTCTCGACCTTGGGATAGTTGCGGTCCGATAACATCTAGAACGAGGAATCGAAATATTCACCGGATGACAAATTTATGGATAGGTGAGTCCTCACCGAATAGTGAGGCCGCTTCTCTCCTGACTTCTATGCTGGAAAATAAAAACGAATTCAATAACGAAGAGTCTATTTTTCATGGCAAAGGGTCAGAAAGCCAACCAGCTTCTCACTAATGCTACTTACTAATATGTATAGCAATAGCAAACGAAGTATACAACACACATCAAGAGATAGGTATACAGATAACAGACACGAACGCGCTCATATTTTAAACGTTCTTTTCTTCGTTTTCACTAATATTGTTTGCGTATTCGCGCAGAAGGCAAAAAATGCTTGCTTGCTTCTGATTGCATGTAGCTACTACCCATACATCATAGACTAGCCGCAAACGAAGTCCATTATCAGACATAACTCCTGATACATCCAGAGAATTTTAAAGGGCTGGCCTTCCTCCCATTGCCACACCCTATACCGTCGCGTCTCCAAGCTCCCATCCAATCAATGGCGGTAGAGACTGGTCTTCGGACGTTGCCTCGAGGCTTTAGAAAAAAGCACTACCTATAACCTCTTTTGATTTACCCGGCCCGCGAAGATACGCGACTAAATTAGAGGTCCGCGAATGATGACGGAGGATTTCCGCTCATCATTCGTAATATGTTGTTCAAGAAAATCCGCGTTTATAACGCCGACGATGGTTAAAATATGAGTTGAATAAGTTTCATACCGAATTGAAAGTTTCCTGCGCGTGTGGGTATATCAGGATAGAGGATAGGAAAGAAGATGTCGACTGTAAAGTCAGATTGCGAGTGCTTGAATAGCATGTGTTTTGATTAAGAAATCACAAGGGATTCCTACGCATCCGAGTGCGTTTTTAAAGCCACCTGAGTAGCCCCATGACTCAACGAACGACGAAGAATTGAATGCAAGTTTCTATAAGCCTGGATATGCGCTTCCAGGGATCATACCTCCTCTCCCGCTTGGTCCCCCGCGTGCCCCCCCGCGTGCCATTGGCAGCTGGAAGTCAGGGTTACTATTAAGAACATTCACTTCGTTTCGGCCAATCGGCTTTCGTGGTGGCATTTGTTGGTTATATACTTGGCCGGGAGGTGGGTTCCAGCGAGGGTTTATGCCTCTTTGAGAAATGGAAGTAAATCCTGACTGTTCGGATATCGCTGGACTCATAGGTTGAGCCGGTACATCGTCATAACTTAGTCCATCTTGCTGTAGCAGCGGCGGTTGCTGAAGCTGTTGCAGCTGTTGCGGTTTAGAAGCAGGCTCTTCGAAACGAGGATCTACGTCTTCATAATAATTGCCCGTACCGACAGTTGCTGGTTGAGGCGGCAGTTGCGGTTGCGGAGGAGGAGGCGTCCCGCTGCTAAGTTCTTGAGGACGAGTTGGAATTTGAAGAGGAGCAGGTATCTGGGACGGCCGCTCGGGCCCCCCCATCCTTGACGAGGAGGAACATATGTACTAGTTATGATGTTAGCGGTGCAACTATTTTATCGATGATTCAACAAACCCTTCTTGGCTATATCTGCTTCCTTCGCTCATAAACGTGTCGTGGCGGTTTGGGGAGGATGTCCTTGCTTGCTGCAGGGCTAACATGCCGGCTACGTCCGCATCGCTATCCCTAAGTTGGTTGTTGAACTGGCCAAAACCTTGAGGTGGGTGAGCGGGGCTTCCCGTAGAAGCATCCATCTCCACGGCTTGACCTACTGGCCTTTCATGCGCATCATCAATACCAGGCATCGGAGGAGGGGACTCTGCTCGGGGCAGGTCACTGGCACGATCCGGGTTATATGCTTGGTAAGTAGCTCCTTCAGCCATGCCAACTGGAATACTCGGCACGGGTGGCTCAGCTTCGTAGGGGTTGATTGGTACCGCCGGTGACCCTTGCCGTCCTGGACCATAATCACCATATGCGCTAGCCGGAGATGGTCTTCGATCATATGGTCCACCACCTGGATAAGTTGGTGGCGGTGTTCTTCCACCTCTCATCTCACCCGGACCATAGCCTCTACGGGGACCGTAACCCCCTCGCCCATTGGGTGGCGGCCCGTAACCACCGCGGCCGGGACCGTAACCGCCTCTTCCATTCGGCGGTGGGCCGTATCCACCTCTTCCGCCCGGTGGGCCGTAGGGAGCACCGTAGCCTCCTCTTCCATAGCCTCCTCGTCCTCTATAACTAGCTGGAGGGCCACCACGGCCCCTTGCGTTCATACGCTCGAAAGACGGACCACGTCGCATTTTGTAGCCATCCTGGGGTTGCTCAATCGGATTGCCATATTGGTCTCTTGGCATCGAGTTGCTAGAACCTGTCCGTTGGGGCATGTTATATGTGGAGCCCGACATGCTCGTATCAGCAGGAGCATGATTCGGGGACCTGTCAGAAGGAGTTCTAGCGGTTAGAGGTATACGTTCGTCACTGCTGCGATCATCCTTCTTCTCAAATGAGGCAAATCCATCGCTTGGTCCATTCGCTCCACTGACAACGGGAACAGTAGGCTGTCGTGAAACAGGTGTGGGAGATACGACCTCTTGTTGAGCCTGGCGGTTGTAGTAATTCTCTCCACTCATCTCGGCGTTCTCTGCGATACGCCTCTTTCTTGCCTTTCTATTGACTAGGGTGCGTCGCATAGCGCACGAAATAATGAAACTCATGAATACAAGGATCGTAGCAGCTAGAACGATATAAGAGCCCCAGGCCATGTGAGGAACGAAAAGTAATACGTCGATTAAAAAGGCAAGGAGGCATACTAGAAACGTAATGATGCCGAAGATAAAAAGTAGTAACAAGTAACGTGACGAATGAGAAGGAGAATGAAGGTGGGCGACAATGGCAAGTACCAGCATCACCAAGGTAAGGAGACAGGCAACGGGATGAACCACGAGGATAGCGGAAAGAGTTGTCCGCGTTGTAGAAGGCAAATCGAAGGTAGCTGAGTCCGTAGGAGAATAGATTGACGCTGAAAATGTGTTAGATATAACTTAAAACTGATTCTTCATAAAGAATAAGCTTGGGGGAGTAGGCATACATGTATCATATCCAATCTCTATTGGGCTACAATGACCGTTCGCTTCACAATACCCAAACACCCCAAAATTGACGCCTTTGTAAGTACCTAGAGGAATCGCTTTGATAATAGGGGTCGATAAGACGGCGAGTAGCAGCATGGCGAAAGCTGCGAAGAGCAACACCGTCAAGGGTGTAGCTGGTCGCAACATGATGACGGCTTAGTAGCGCGCCGACTCAAAGGAGCCGCGACGCCCAAGTAATCGCTTGCGTTCAATCGAAATCGAGTCCGTGGTTCGAGTCAACTCAGGTCTTAAAGGTAACAATGCGATTGTGCATGCAAATGTGAGCAATTGAAATATATCGATATCGATGGCGGCGACATGTAGATCGATGGGTCTTCTTTAGTTCTGACTGCGTTTGTCGTTTCTCATTCCGTTATACCGACTCTATTCGCTGCGCATAATCCCCAAGACTGACCCAAATAAACCAATTTGCGAACTCTTTCTACGAAGGATTCTCGAATCCCTTCCTTTGATCTCTCTCCTCTCGTTTATTGTATTTATCAACCTACCACGCTTTCCAGAAACGAGTGACTGAGGGTAGATTGGGATAAATTCAATCAAAACCAAGTGGCGCGGTTGTATTACGCCGACGTGGTGGCAGTGCCAGTGGTGACGGTGTCGAAGATCGGAAAGTCGACTTAGAAGAAATGGAGTTTGATTGGAGTTGATTGGAAGGAAAGCGCCTGATGAGATTTGTTTGGGCGGGCGGCACGGGAGCGTGACTGAATCTAGCGTACCTTCTTGACTTGCGGGTTGGTTGAACAAAGGGGACTTTGGCGTAATTTGGGTGGACCAAAGCCTAACTCTGTGCCAACTGCAGGTCATGGTCTAGATTAGTGGGTCAATGCACGGCGCGATTAAGAGAGTGGCTTAGCTTGCTTCAATGTTCTGATGCTTTTTGCCCGCCTGTCCGCTTGTTTTGCGCATTCCCCTTACACTCCCCTGACTTCCCTACGTTAAGCGTCTGGACAGTGGGGTACCGTACCTGCCTAGCGATGTCGTAGGGATCTAGCGCTAAAGCTAGTAGTCGGGACCAAGTCCTAAATGAGGTCGATCAGGCCTTAAAATCTTAAAAGAGTCTTAATTACACGATCTGCCCAATAAACACTAACCTTAATGCAGTCTTAAATCTTCCTCGAGATCGAAATATCCTCTAACTTCTTCCAGAATATCATTCCGGGTCGGCCTGGGTTGAATACATGGACATGATAGACCGTATTGGACCTGGAACTTGTAGAAAATTCGTCACTACTACATAACAGCCCACACATGCATCACCGAATTATACAGTAGCGTAGGCCGTACTGCATAGTAACTCGGCGTAACATCCCGGAGCGACTCAGCTCCACTGCAAACATCGCCTTATCATTGTAATGTTAATGCTAACAAAGGCAACCCGAAATATCCCCATACAATGAGACGTATTGTTACAGTTAGTTCAAAAGCTGTGTGCTATAATAAGCTTTGCTTAACCATGTGGTCTCTTTGTGCCAATACCAATTTCTAAGCCTGAATGGAATGTCCAAGCCCGCGCTAAGCATCTTCTTGATGCTTTACGATGCGATGCAGTGGATCGTGGGACCGGAAGGCGAGTCCGCCTTACTATTGTAACGAGCGACAAAGATAGCTCGGGTCGAGACCTCCTGTACGTCGGAATAAGGCTATCCAAGAGGCTCCCGTCTCTGAAAGTTCAATTGATAAGACTGCGATGAGCTGGCAGCTTATCCGTAACTTAGAAAGCCGAACTACTGCAGATTTCCAGATAGGCTAAACTTGGTATCGCGGGACTTGCCGTTGGCATATCTTGTTTTAGTAAAGCACATCACATACCAATGCATATTCTAATATTCGGGGAAATACTCGACTAGACGGGTGTTTTTATTGTGCCTCGTATGCCTCGTATGTACTATCACTTATACCAAGACTTTAAGTTACGGCATTTTTTATTCACTTACATATATTGCATAATAGACTCTACAGAAGCGTACTTCGTATCGTGGGGTCAAATGCTTCTTCAACACAAGAGTTTGGGGGCCAGTTGTTAGTTCCATTGATTAAGATGCAAACAAAGCTTAAAAAAGAAGGTCGGTGAAGCAAATAAGAATTTGATTAACTGAATATATACAAGAGTATGTACTTGAACTGTCCCTTGCCTGATAGTCTACTAATGATAGAATCCGGTTAGATTGAATTTACAGACATCTATAATGTCTAGGTTAGTTAGGTTACTTTGTAATGGCTCCTATCTCATTCGTATCAAAAAAGGCAAACATTTTATTTTTTACGAGCCCAACCAGCGTTGGAAACATTTCTTGGAAGCAACTTAAAACGATCTGCATTATCTCATCATATCGTTGCGAATCATGAATTATCTAAAGTTTATCACTCTGCCGATCACAAGCCACAATCCACATGTGTATATCTGTTACATTAGCACCTTAAGTAAATTACCTACTTCTCGTACAAGTCAGCCAACCATCTTATACAAGTAAAAGCCCACCTGCAAGCTGGTACTTAGAAGGAATGACCTTGGTGTAGAGTTTAATCCTTAAGGAGCCCTCGAATCATGACGAATATCATAAACTTGCGCGACAGCCATTAATGAAGGCCTCATCACTAACTTCCAGTGTGAAATACATATGATTAGACAAATACGATTCACGTAATTTCCTCTTAGACTACTATTACAACCAGAAAAATACATATGTACTCGTAGCATGTGTTTCACCACGCGTCAGCTTTCTCAAACTCCCAGATCCTAGACCAAACGCATGATCTACGCGTAGTGTAGGTTTCTGATGTAGAGCCTCAGATTACAGGGATAGTTTTCAGGCGGGTCGGGAGTTAAGGTGAAACTTGATTTTCATTTTTCATATTTAAGAAGATTTCGTAGACCCTGGCTGTTTGGCTACTTATATATATTAGGTAGTCTTCTCTTTCAAACTTGGTTTCTTGTTCGTGGCTTCGTAAGAGCTTTATGAATTTATATTCCAGTGAAATCAATTGCTAGAATTATTGCGCACAATTCAGCTTTATTTACGAAGCTCTCGTTATATAAATAATTAAACCAGGAAGCAGGAAAGAGAATGCCGTATGTACCTACCTAACTCTTCCATCAATGACCATGTTATGGTTCTTCAATTATGAGAACACTATCTCCATGTTCTAGACTCTAATTGAGAGACCATCTTTGGGATCGGACTCGACGGCAGTAAGATCCGGATATGCAAGTGATGTGGTCAAAGCTGATATACATGGGTATCTGTGAATAAGTGGTAAATAGAAGATATATGTAATGAGCCTATTTTAAGGTCTATCACAACTTTCTCCTGAAGTTACTTACCAAATTCTTATTTCAACCATGCCTAGGTACATAATATTACACAGGTATATATTCGGGCTTAATTTCGCTTCTCTGTAGATTATTTCTCTATTGTACCGACGGGACCGGAATGGACATCGGCCGATTCGGTGCCGGCGGAGATAAGATTTTTGAGATAAGGATAATATATCGTCATTGATCTTGGCTTACGGAATCCGTGCAGCCTAGGGTCGGTAACTACTTTTTTTTTTTTTCTTACCCGTAGCAAAACAACTATCTTGAAGTCTAACTACATGTACTGCAAGAGGTTGGAAGCTTGCCTTCCGCCTCTGAACTTTGCTACGTGCCGTAGCTAACATGTTTCGCAACGGAGTAGCGAAGCTCTACACCCGCCAAGTCATACCGAAACAGAGAATCGAGGCTTGTAATGTTGCTCATGCGACCCCAACTCTAGTCTGTCGACGTCTTCCGAATCGTGCGCGGAGCTTACATCAAGCTCGCTCGATACAAACGCACTCTTCCTTCGAGCCCCTACGTCCTCCCTCACCCTCGTCGTTAGGCAAGCCGCAAGCGGCGCGAGACTTCAAACGGAGTCGGAAATGGGGTCGGCGGCTGTTGATATTCTCCGCTATAACCGGCACCATCTATGTTATAGATAACCAAGCGTTCGCCGCCGGCATCAGACGGTCCCTATTCACCTTCGGTACGGGTCTCTGGGTCGCCCTCGACTATAAGATCAACTTCCGCCCCGAGCCGCTTACCGGTGGCACGATCGAGGATCTGCACATGCGCAGTGCCGAGAAACTATTTCACTTGCTGCGCTCCAATGGGGGTCTCTACCTTAAGATCGGCCAAGCCATTGCTATGCAAAGCGCCGTCATGCCACCCGAATTTCAGAAGATGTTTTCGAGGATGTTCGACGATGCCCCGCAGGACGAGTGGAAAGATGTCGAGAAGGTTGTTCGGAAGGACTTTGGCGGAAAGAGTGTTGAGGAGGTCTTCGGCGTCAGTTTCACTGGTGAAGAGGGTAAAGGGCTCATGGAGCGTAGGGCGAGAGCTAGTGCCAGTGTCGCACAAGTACATTGGGCTAGACTTCCGGATGGAAGAGAGGTTGCGATTAAGCTACAGAAGCCCGAGATTGCCAAGCAAGTGGGGTGGGATCTCTGGGCCTTTAAGTAAGTCATAAACTGCGTGATCAGGATCACTATACCGTAAGTGGGCTAATAACCATGGCAGAGTCGTGATGCGGATTTACACATGGTGGTTTGACCTCCCTCTATACAGCTTAGTTCCGTATATCACCGAACGGCTAATGCTTGAGACGGATTTCGAAGAAGAAGCCAAGAATTCGGAGATGATGCGAAGTCTCGTCAACTCGGAACCCAGTCTTAAAGGCAGGGTATACATCCCCCAAGTCTACTCAGAATTCACGACAAGAAGAGTCCTAGTTACTGAGTGGATCGAAGGAGTCCGTCTTTGGGATAAAGATGCAACGGGTGGTCGATGGCTAGGGGGCTCTGGCGTTGGGTCCCCTGGGGTCCACGGTGCCCAGTTACACTTCGGCCCATCGGACATGGCGGCTGCTCGTCAAGAACTGCGAGTAAACCCAATGAAAGAAAGCCTAAAGCCCGATCGAGAGACCTGGAAAGGACGGACAGGTAAGGGCGGACTCGGCTTATCGAGTAAGGAGGTTATGACTACTATGGTGGATCTTTTTTCGGCTCGGTATGTATAAAAGATCTTGCCCCTGCCTCTTAAATTCTATACATGTGCTAACAAGACTGTAGTGAGTATCAACATCTATTTTCGCCATCCCTACATCATGTTCTTCGACTACTTATTTCTTCTGGTTGAAAACAGACTGGAAGGAACAGGGCTATGTTCACCTGAACAAAGCTAGAAGAGTAGGACTTGAGAAACAGTACACGAGACTAACATGGTCTAGAGATATTCAAATGGGGCGTTGTGCACTGCGATCCGCATCCTGGTAACATTTTCATAAGACGACTACCATCAGGAAAGGCTGAACTAGTTCTGATCGACCACGGGCTTTACGTTTACATGACCCCTAAATTCCGACACCAATATGCACTTCTCTGGAAATCGCTTTTAACCTTCGATAACAAGACAATAGCCGATGTCACAGCGCAGTGGGGTATCAAAGCACCTGATCTATTTGCGAGCGCGACGTTATTGCGCCCTTACGAAGGAGGCGACCAAACCACTCGTAGTAAGATCATGAAGCAGCTTGAGGGCAAGACGCCGTCGGAGCGGCACTATGAGGCTCAACGAATGATGAAGCAAGGCATTCGCGAGGTACTATCGGACGAGGAAAAGTGGCCTCAAGAACTTGTCTTTATCGGTCGGAATATGCGTATCGTCCAGGTAAGCTCTCTAGTTTATATTACTTCTGCTTACAATAACTACGGCCGGTCTGATTGATCCATCCCGCTTATTCCATATTAGGGCAACAACCAATTTATGGGATCTCCTGTCAATCGTGTTAAGATAATGGGCAACTGGGCGAGCCGGAGCTTGTTCCAAGACCCGAATCTACCTTTTAGGGATCGCATGTTCAACGCATGGCGACATCTTTTATTCAAGACCATCTTGTTCGCGACAGATGTAGCATTCTACACTTTCAAAGTCCGGCAATGGTTAGGATTGGGAGGTGGTATGGAAGATGAAGTCGAGGCCAGGATGAGGGAAATGGCTAAAGATTATGGCGTCGAGCTGCAGCAGGTACGTTGAACAATATGTCAAGCTGATATATTTTGAAATCCCATCATCTACAACAGCTAACCCCTTAGCAGTAAGTAGGATTTTCTTTCCAAAACATTATCCAACAACCACCCAACGTGGAATCGGGCTATGTTCTCTATAAAGGTAAGATTTGGAAGCTAACGCAACATGTTTTAACGCACTAGTGAGGTCTTCGAGGGCTGAAGGTCTAAGTTTAGATCTAGAATTGAGGGTTACCTCGGGAAATAAAAAGACTCTGTAGAACCATAAAACATAGATGGGGTTAGACGGCTAGCATATACATAGAACAGCATCAGGCCGACTTGTATTATAGGTGGAGATGAGCCCCCCTTGAAAAACTACTTACACCTCTTGACTTCTTTTTGGAGCGATCTGCAGATGTTGTGTAAGATATGAGGTGGGCAGCTTATATACTTGATACTGCTTTGTATACTTGATACTATTTCCCCCGGTTGATATTAGGAGATGACATACTGAATTATATAGTGAGATACAGTATCATAACGAAGTCTACCTTCGGTACTCTATAAGCTCCATACCAGGTAAATCTATTCTAGTACACTGTGTATATTGGAATCGGGCGTTGTTTAAGACGGTTGCCAGCTTATTATGGCTTGCCTAAGTCATGTTCTAAACGGGACACAACATACATATATTCACATTAAATCCACAACTAGTTTTGGCGGAGATATATTGGATTAGATGCACCTAGCCGAGACAAAATGGCTACAGTGCACAACAACACTGCAAGGCATTCGTTAGTTGAACACAGCACGTGGAAAGTCCACTTTGAAACCCACGCGGATATTGGAGTTGGCTGTTAGCCATGTTTTAGTAGCTTAGGTGGGTAGCCGTCGGAGGGGTGTTTGCGCAAGGGGATAGTTGGAGTTCGTTTGCTGATGTGAAGCTATTGCCAGCTAATATATAACTAGGTACCTTATATATAATTATTTGCTAACTCTATGTGCGCTGGAGGTAGTAGGTAAGGTTGTATTAATAAGAGTCATGGCCCTGATGAGGTAGTCAAGTATGTACAGAATACTAAGTTTACCTAAGCTACATGTTAGGAAAGCACGATTCGTACGCGTTATCCTACATATACGTGGATGTTAAATTCAATTCCGCAATGCTAGCCTATTAAGGTAGGTATGTACCCCAATAGCCCGCTGTCCAGCTAGGCTCTCGGGATATTTACTGTGTCAGTTGGTAGCGACACCAAACCGTGGCTAGCCTTGCTTGGGTTGCGCCGACTGGGCCAATCACGAATAAACTTTGACTTGAAACCGCATAACCTAGCGTGGCAGCAGCGTGGATAATGCTTATGGGTCGCTTCCCCTTTTCATCCCAGATTGGCAATAGAAACAATTTGGGGTTAGCAGCTCATCTCATCTGCTGTCGTGATGCTTGACAACGTTCTCTTTTTGAATTTCGCGACGCATACACATACTTCTTATCAAAAAAAGTTGGTCTTGCGCATGAAGTACTGACCGTTCAATTCCTTCAGGCTTCTGAACGTAATCATATATTAAGCATTGTTTTTCTTTTTATGCATTAATGCTTCATATGCGCAATATTCCCCCGGAATCCTAAGGTCAGTTGATCTTTAACGACACCCCATTGAATTGTGCACACAGACCACAAAACCAAATAAGAAGCAGACCCTTTTTTCTAATCTGCATCTACCAACAGCCCCAATTTTGCAGCCGTTAAACGCTCTCCCCATTCTTCTACCCAAGATCTTGTTCCAGCGCGCCATCGCGAACTGACCACATATCGTGCGATTCGACGCTCGTTTACATTCGTTCAGGTTAGTGAATTTCTATTCTTTCGTTGGTGACTGGTGACTGGTGACTATTCCCGCCGCGTCGCGTTTATCCTATGGTGTTTCGATTCAACTTCACGGGTTAGCTATAGATGGTTCGCATAGCTTTAGGCGCGTATTACATACAACTTCGAAAACCATTGCGCCCTCCTCCCGCAGGTCGGTAGATCACAGAATAACAACCTTCGATTGGTTCATTCTTCTTCAACAACCCCTTCTCACCTACTCTACCTGACGTACCTTTGGAGAAGGTACCAATTGAAGCACAATCCGATCTTTGCCCACCTCCGCTGTCGCGCCACGCGAGATCAAGTACAGAAAGCGAGGTAGAGAGCTTAGAGCTCGTTGGTCAATAACTATTGCAGCTCCCTTGGGTTCCCTTTCTTAACCCCCCAAGCTTCTTCATTCTTAAAGGCGCCCATCTTCTTCTTATTGCGCCAGACTCCGTCAATAATAGTACGAGTAGTATACCTACTGGATACATTGTTATTTCCACCAGTTCCTAAGTGCCATTGCCCATTGAATTGCGACCCACTTGTTTATATTTACAAGGACCTGGATTGAATTAATTTCGTCGCAAGATAACTTCAACAGCTAGCTGACCCCTTTGATATCTTCTTCTCTCTAGGTCTTTTCGATTTACTCTGCGTTCAGCGTTCGCCTCTTGGTTTCACCCATTTACCTTTACGACTATACCCGGCAGTATTAGTCGTTTGAGTTGAGAGATACATCTACATCAACTCTTTTGAAATACGTTTCTTGAAGTATTCCAATTCATTGGAAAATAGACGAGACAGGACGCCTAACTTACAAGCGCGCATCCTTACACTTTCATTCGTCTCGGATTTACCTGCCCTTAGTACAAGACAGGATCTCTCCACAGTAAGATCGAACACGAGATAAGAAGATACCCTTGCCCCAAATCGCAACGTCTTTTTAGTCGCTCGCCTGCATAATTACGAGTACGCCTCTGCGCAACCCCTCACCAGGAAAGTCGACCATTTAGAGCAGAAGGAGATCTTGGCCTTGTAGTCAAAACCTACTCTTGAACTATAAATTGTTCAGAAAAGTACAGGCTCTTATACTTCTCCCTACGAAGGTACCTATCACAGGTAGTCGTTTCTAAGTACCAGTCGTTGTTTCGTCGTTATTCGAACCTTAGATAGCTCTTGCCATCTAAGCGTGGATAGCGTTGAGTTGATGCTAGCAAGGATAAAACTATGAGCCAACCGCCTCATCGATCTAGTCTCGGGATGTTGCTTCGACGCAGTAAATCGGGCGACTTGGGTAAAGGTGGTAGGAAGCACCATAAGGAGGTGCCGCAACGGGAAAGCGTTCCTAAGTCCCCCCCTCGTCTCCCTGATCTCTACAATGGTGCTCAACCTCCTGAACCACTTCAGAGCTTCGGAGGCGATACCCGCCCGGATTCTATCGCCATCATTTCTGGAAAAGTCGACCATTCATTTCACCGCTTCCCACCTAGGCCGTCTATCGATCCCGGTCGTCCTTCGATGTCCTCTGTTTCTAGTCCTCCCGTACCTCCCGTTCCCAGCGGAGTTTACGTTGACCCCTACGCTCGTACCGAAAGTATGACGCACCGTGGCCGATACAGCTATGCAAGTAGTGCCATGAGCACTATTAACAGCCCTAGAAGGGTTCGTAGGAGGAAGGACCCTACTCCTTTCAAGTATGTTTCCCTTCATTCGTTTCCTTAGTGTCGAAGCTTACAATAAACTCGCAGTATTCTGATTGTGGGCACCCGTGGCTCCGGAAAGACCTCATTCCTCGAATTTCTCAAGACCGCCCTGGCCCTGCCAGAGAAGAAACGATCTCAACGGTCGACTGAGATTGAACAAGAGGTTACTTCCAATGCAACCCCCTCGGGTAACTTCATACCGCACTACCTCGAGAGCGAAATCGACGGCGAGCGTATCGGCTTGACCCTGTGGGATTCGGAGGGTCTCGAGAAGAATGTGGTAGATCTACAATTGAGAGAAATGTCCACGTTCTTGGAGAGCAAGTTTGAGGAAACCTTTGCTGAGGAGATGAAGGTGATCCGATCACCCGGCGTTCAGGATACGCACATCCACGCAGTTTTCCTCGTCTTGGACCCTGCTCGTCTAGACCGAAATATAGCTGCTGCGAAAGCTGTCTCAGCGAACGGTCATAGCGGGAAGTATGAACGAGACGTTGGCCGCGTCGTAGGTGGTCTAGACGAAGATCTTGACCTACAGGTTATGCGAACCCTCCAGGGCAAGACAACAGTGATACCAGTCGTCTCGAAGGCCGACACGATAACCACCGCTCACATGGCCGTCCTCAAGAAGACTGTCTGGGCTAGCCTCAAGAAAGCAAACTTTGATCCTCTCGAGGCACTAGGTCTCGATGATGAAGACGATACCACCCCGGATTCTAGCAGAATCGACGAGGCCGAAGATGAGGATCAAGAGGATGGTGAGGAGGCAGCTGATTCAGCAGAGTCAGGAGACGATAAGCAAGACGAGGAGGAGCCTGCAGTTACAGAGGACGATAGCGCTGGAGCAGAGGATGAAGAGCTCCCCATTCAAGGCAGAGTCTCGCCGGCTTCAAAACGCCGCTCGAATACCTCCAGTCGCCGACCCAAATCATCTGAGGGAGCGACAACTGAAGAACTTCCTTTCCTTCCAATGTCTATAATCAGCCCCGATATCTACGAGCCTGGCGTTGTTGGTCGCAAGTTCCCTTGGGGTTTTGCAGACCCTTACAACGAGGAGCACTGTGACTTCACTAAACTGAAGGATGCAGTATTTGGCGAGTGGCGTGGTGAACTACGCGAGGCTAGCAGAGAGAATTGGTATGAGGGATGGAGAACCAGTCGTCTCAAGCAGAGACAACCTACGAGTCGACGTCGATGAGAGAGGGTGGTGGATGTCTTTGGTAGATAAGACGTTTTTTCTACATGGTTAGCAGGTCTTTGACCTTTTGTGTCTTGGTGTCGTCATAGCATACCCCCTTCAGATATTTTTCTTTCTTTTCATATACCACGATATTGTCTTCTCCGGCCAGCCGGGGTGGCGCAGGAAAAGGGCTCCGCGGGCGTTGATTCTGGGCTCGGGCTACTAGAAAATATTTTCCTTCAGGCTCGATCGACAACTCAGGGGCCTTGGCTCCCAAGAACCACATGTTTCATCATCACACGGTGCCACGTCCACCGATTTCAATTCCTTTGTACGAACGTTTCTTCACGCAACTAGGCATTCTAGGCTTCTACTAGGCTCAGTTACTACTCTCATCAGGCGATTGCTGGCACGCAATGAAGAAGGACCAACTTTATGTTATTACGCCGCGCCTTTTTTTCTTGGAACTCATCACATATTTCTTGACCATCAGTGCGTGTTTCACTTACCTACATAGGCATGCAAATGTTAGGAAATTCTTCTCTTGTGTGTTTTTTATTTTATTATTGGTGCCCCCCTTTTTTTCGAACTTGAAAACTGCTTTCCGGATATCCCACGTGCAATAGGAAGACCCCCGTTTGAGGGGTGCAAGGGGGGTAGGCTGGAGGCTTACGTGTGTTAATTGGTTGCCTACTTGAGGTGGTTTTGATGTTGTTTTCTTTTTGCTTTGGCTGTTGAGCAGAATATTACGACGAGAGGCGAAGTACTTCCGGGGGAACGAAGTTAGGAGAGTAAGAAAGGGGGGTAATAGGACACAGCAAGCAGGCGAGCAAGCGAGCAAGCGCTTATATTTCATCAGGAGAGGAGGAGGAAAAGAAGAGAGGGGGCTAGCCTTTATTACTTACGGCTGCTTTGTGGAGGTTGCGCAGTTGAATAGGTTATGTTAGGTAAAAGCTATGTGGCCCTGAGAGAAAAGGGGGGGAGGGGAGATGAGAGACGTATTTTAGTCCTCGGAAATTTTATTCAGGTTTTTTCTAAGTTAGGTGATGCTGCTTTTCGTAGCTTGGCTTAGCTTAGCTCGAGTTGACTCGGCTCGGATTAAGTGTATTTGTGATGTGAGTGAGACAGTGGTAATGAACGGTGATAATGCTTGTTTATAAAGGTGTAGTTCGTTATCTAGGTAGCGAATCAAAGTATGATATCCTAAATCGGTGCTCGACTATGACTGAGGACTTCTTTTCTTCTAAGGAATTTATCTACCCAACTTCGTCCATATTTATTTCCTTTTTGTCGTAATCGGACTTGAGTCTAGCAAGGATGGAAACGGAAGTAAATAGGGAGGAGATGAGGAGATGGAATAGGAATAAGGAGCTACTATGGATTAATATGGATAGGTAACGTAGGAATAAGAAGGGAGTAGGTGCCTATTAAAGAACTAACGGATATAAGCGTGTGCTCATGTGTGCATTAATGTATAAGATACCTAATTACCATTACAAAAGTTCCCCTATCGAAATCGGCGAAACCCTCCAAGGTACAGATGGACAAAGAGGTGAAATGTAACTACCTAACAGGTCCGACTAAACGCAACAAATTGGCATGCAAGACGTGATTCCTAGAAGTCCATGCACTCCCGTAAGGTCATGTAAGAGGTACACATTTCCCACATTTCCCTACGTAAGATGCACGATCTTCATGGGTCAAAAGTCGCGGCCGAGTTGAGAGATAAACCACAGATAATATGAAATCATCAATCAACGAATGCCAAAGCAATTTGTACATACAAAGCTCAGTGCCCTCGTTCCATTAGAGAAGAAGATTCCATCCTGATACAACCGGCCAATGCCCATTACTGTCCTGTAGACGTGATGCACACGCGCGAGCGCGACCTTCTAATCCAAAACTCCGCTGCAATGAGATGTTCGTATGCTTCTGAGATCATTGAAGAATACAAGCTGACGATTATCCTCGAAAACCCCCCTAATGGATCTGCATTATCATCAATGAAGTGCCTTTGCACTTTTTTCTTTCGCAATTTCCTCTTTTCCAGACTTTGCCTCAAGCATATCCCTTCAACTACTTAAATTGTATAGTTCGGTCCTTGTAATAATGATCCTGCCTGCATCTCTTATTCACGTAGTTGCCAATTCCACGACTTGAATATCTATACATGCCCTAATCGTGTTTAGCTGTTGTGAATACCCCTTGAGGAGATCTAACGCAGTCTACTATTGTTGGGGGGGTTTTGCTGCGAGGGAAGCCCCTTATTTCTTTCTAGAGACTGGTACAGCACGCTTAGGAGCGGCTCAGCGTGCCCATGCGTGGGGATCGAGTTAGCGTCCTCAACCGAGATGTAACGACTCTCAACCCCATTCTCGGGCTTATTAAACTTTAGGGAATTTTGGTATTCCTGTGAGTTAGAACCAAGGGAACGTGTTATATCACGAGTGTACTTCTCATGAATCGCTACTCTCAAGTTCTTATTGATCATGTAGTTCCCGTTGTAAAAGTCTCGATCGAGTTTATCCTTGTGAGCCGCTTGGAATTCGGGCGTTTGCTGCCACAATAGTTTGCCTTTATTATGCTTCTCCTTCCCTTCTTCCTCCTTCATATGTTTCTCTGCCCAATCGTCGGCCATTGGCTGGGTGTGAAAGTTGAAGTCCGGGGGAAGCCCCTTTGGAAAGAATGTCTTGGCTTTCTCATAGGTGAGCGTGTCAACCATCTTGAGGCTAGCATTGCCCTCTTTGTTTGGAAATAATCCAGGGGGGTGAATAGAGGAGAAAGTCTCACTCTTGTATGAAGGGGTGGGCTGTCGAGGTGTAGGTTGCATAGGTTGCTGGGACTGGAAGGATGAGAAAGGCTGATGGCGAGGAATACCTTCACCGAAGGTGTCGAACTCGTGAGCCTTCTCAAACCCTTTCCGCAGCGAACTCGAGGCTCCGTCGAAGGCCGAGGGCTGGAAGTGACGTTGTCCAGGAGGGCCTGCAGTTAGGGGCTGCGGAGCACCTGGTCCCTTGGACAAGACAGCCGGGTAATAATCATGCTCTCGGGTAGTAGTTGTCGTAGCGCTTCGATGAAGAGGAGCTGGATTCTGATTATGGTTACGCCCGTCGAATCTATCGGACTGAAGTAGGCTCTCGACTCCAATTGGGTCAGACCGGATATTTCTAGGGCCGAAACCGGGTGGAATATTCAAACCGCTACCATTCTGCGAGATGGAATCCGAGAGTTGATGATGCGGCACCGGAGGAGCCTGCCTAGCCTTGGTGAGAACTTTCTGTGCAGCTTTCTGCATGGGGTTGGGGTAGGATGCCAAATTGGTGAGTGTCTTAGTCGACATATTATTGAGGGTTACATTCATGTCCTCTTCTTCCTCGATGTCTTCGTGCTCGTAATTATTTCCTCCATTGCCGTGGTAGTTGCTTGCTTCGCCCTGTTTGTGGGGGGTAGCAGTAGCGGTTCCGGCTAGGAGTGGAATAGCTGGGACAATCTTCTGAGACATGTCGACAGAGGGAGTAGAGGAATACTGCCTCTTGAACTCGGAGATTCGCTTGGGAGCAGGGCTACCCGGGTCAACAAGATTGTTGAGGTGGTGGGGATAATCAGTGTGCATATGGTTATCATGAGTTAGTACACGAGTAGTCTGGGCGGGACTGACAGCGCGATCGAAATTCTGCTGCAAAGGTGAATAATATTGCGAGTGAGAATACGACTGTGCAGTACCAAAGTTATTAAAGGAGTCGTCTTGGTAAGGTTCGAGCATAGACATAGGCATGGCAGATCGAAGGGCTCGACCGCGACGTGCAGGAGGCTGTAGCGGCATTGATTGTGGGTTCCAGACCGAACCAACAGTTGTGTATTGTCGCTGCGATGAGCTGGGTTGATCTGGTTGTTGAGACAAGTGCGTCTCCATGGTGACTGACGGATAGACAAGAAGAGTTATTGACGATGACTTGCCAGTATCTGTCGAGAAAGAGAACAGGATAGAATAAAATAGGAGGAAAGAAACGCGAGATGACGATGATATTGTTGTTTGTTGGTGATGGAAATGATGGGGATGAGGGATAAAGTAGAAGAAGAGGGAATGCCTACTTTTCTCGGTTTCTCAATGTTAGACTGGAAGGTATTGACTGGATGCCTAACCTTTCTAATCTACCTCTTGACTGTAGTTTCCGAGATTGAACTTGGATGTTGTACTTGTTTTGGTGCTAGTTGTGTTAGATTTGTTACCTAATTTATCGTAGGCAGGAACTGCACCTGCGGAGGTAGGAACGACGGTAGGTAGCTGTAGAAACTAGAGCGGAGACGGATTTATTCCTTCCTTCCTCTGTATCTTTTAAGGAGTAAGTGTATGGGGACAAAAGGAAGTTTTACCAAGCGTCTAAACAGGAAAGAACAGTCAAAGCCAGACGTTGGGGGAAGTTGTGAACTTGCTTACTTGGTGGGCCTTATATCATTTCTTTTGTACCTTTTGTAACTTTAAAGAAGAAATATCAGACTATTATCTATTATCTCAAGCACAAAATATTTCAAGTGCAAACAATTAATAGCGTCTGTTCTATTTTATTTAACTTCGTGAACTACGCCACGTAGTAAGGAACCTAATAACTTCAGACGAAACAGTCTAACTATCCTAACATCCTTTGGATACGCTACACTACCCAACATACGCCACCCACTCCTCTATCCGTCCTATTCATATCAAGCCCCGTTTATTAGAGGCTACTAGTTATGATCTACTTATCCCGTCTTATCCATTCCTAGGGCTTCCCTATCTCCCCTCCGAGTGTAGTTAAGTCATTGATAGGTTGCGCTGGAGACGACTCATTATCAGAGTGTTTGACTCAACTGGCATGAGCTCGAAACGGCTATGATACAAACGATTGCACCTGGTCAAGTTCAAGCTATTCAAACCTTCCGAAGTTTGCTTTTGTCGTATTGCCACGAGAAAGCCCTGAGACTTATCCAATTTTGAGCGGATACCCAACGTAATCGTACTTCTTTACTTGGAAATTTGATCGGCCATCCTCTTATTAGTGTTAGTATAGATATACGGGATATTGGATGAATATGAAATTAACGTGTGTTCAGATCTTATAAAGGTTAGTCCTCGATGTTCTAGCTATACTTTCATCTAATACTAGGGTCCGTAACAAATCTACATCCTCGGCGAAAGTACATAAAAATAAATGTTTGTCACTTACCTATCCGTTTAAATTGGGGATGAATGCTAATATAACATTATTGTCTCGTTAGACCCAATACGGTTCGGCTTCCAAGTCTGCCAGCTCGTTGGCTTTTGTATTATGGTGCCCCTGAAGCACTCATAATATAAGACAAACTTCTCGCCTGTCTATGCCTGGGTAACCGAGAAATAAAGGAGGTTTCCTGCTTAGGAAACCCTATTTTATCTCGAATTTCGCCCAAGGCATTGAAAAACTACTCGGATCCATGTTTTTGGCATAAAAGCTCGCCCAGCTCCCACTACCTTCGATAAGCCGAGTTTTGACACAAGGGTCAAGGGTGAGTTCCCTGATGCCGCCAAAGGTAAACTGGGTTTACTAATCGACGTATGATCATGCGCTTCAGTAGCGAACCGGAGTAGACCCCACAAGCTCTAGAATGTTGTCCATACCTCTCACTCGGCGGTAGGCCTGAGAATCATGGCCCCATTCTCTGCACCCCCTTTGTAGGGGGGAGCAGTGTTACCCCAAAAATCCCGCCATCGCGATATTCGCCTCGAAAGTCTTGGATAACGACGCTAAGATTCCAATATCGACTCCAACTACTTTTAGACGACGCAGTATGTGAATCGGGTTCCAACATTTTCCCACTAGATGCTTCCTCGAATATGCGAGTAGGTGGAATGACCCATTATCAGCAAAGCACGTGATAACCTACATATAGCTCCTAAGTGAACTAATATGCTATTGAACGGCAATCAACTACTGCGCTGGCTAATATGGTGTAGACGCGCTACCGACTCCCCAGTCACATTACGGAGGTCGCCTCGATGCAACATGACCTATAAGAACAAGGCCGAACGTAACCCAGATGGGATACAGTACATTTGCGGTGTCATCAGACTTAAGATATGTTGGGTATTGTCTACTACGTACAGAGTCAATTATTATTGCACATTACGTCTTGCAATACGCGTTAAGCTTATCATTTTTAGGAGAGCTGATGAATAGCAGAAAACCTGGCTGCTTAATTTCCTGCTCAGCACTGAAGAATTTGAACACCCCAGGGGGTTTGAATAAGAGTTTGTAGGCGCTCTACGTCTATACCTGCTATTTTTGGGGATGCTTGTAATTGCATTGCACTCGAAAAAAGACTGGGATACGGCTTTTACTCATGGTCAACTGTCGGGGTGAGAAAAGGTGGCTGTGGAGGATCGAGACCTTCCAATCCTCGTCCTATACCGCCTCAGCTGCAGGCACTGTCAGCACTTTGAGGGGGTATCTGGTGGAAACATTGTCCAACGTCAGTGCGTGTAATGTGCTACTATCGAAGCACAGAGGTTATCTGTTTCCAGCGGAGAAGTCGATCCTACGGCCAATGATTGGCTACGAGAAAAATATAATGGCGGTACGATCCCGCATGTCAACTATACCTGTTGTTGGACGGCCTACGCAACTCGGCGGAAGTGCAGCTGACGACCGAAGTACCTCAAACACTGGTCCTCTCCCTGGGTCTCGGAGGGGTGTAAGAAGCGTGTGTAAGTCAAAAGAGGTATGAAGGATTCGAAGACGTGCAAAGGTCGAAAAATTTGCGGGAGGAACCTAGCTATGGCCTGCTTCGAACATGATTATCTTTTATTAGGTTAGTGGTCCCCGAAGTCTCGTCATCACCGAAGATTGAGCCATATGGTATACTCTGGCTTGCCTGGCTGTTTGGGTATGTTTCTACCCAATAGGAATTGAAACATTCAACTAAATGCAAGAAGGGTCTGAAAGAAAGGTAGGGGCCTAATCTAAGTTTTTTTTTCTCGAGACGAACACTCGTTTGTGACCCCTTTCGTTGTAGTTTGGGGTTGTCGAATCACCACCGAATGTTCTAGGAAGGGCGGGTGGCGTGGGATATGCAGGTGGTATATTTTAAAGTCGACAGCGTCTTTCGACATCCCCTCTAGACCAGTTGGGTACGGGACAATCCACCCTTCCCGTCTGTGGAGATAGAATGGGTAACTCCTATTTGCCACCTCAACCGAAGGAACATGGCATATTGCCAAAATTAGTAAGATGGTCTCCTCTTATTTCTGTGGCCCCAAAAGACCCAAAAGGCTTAAGGATACATATTCCCCGTGCTCTTCAAATATCCCTCGACTGCATTTCCACCGGAGGCCGAAGCAGGGACACACAAAGCGATGATGAGACTTCTGTTCTCGCCTACGTACTTAACTTTGCCTGATATCAAGAATTACCTGACCTTCTGATCTGCTGTGCTGCCAACTTGTGTCAATCCCAAGCACGCTACGCAGATCTGGTAGATTAGCAAGCCTCCCCTGTGTTCGGGAACGGCCAAACCAAACAGAGACACCCCTGGACCTTGTATTAACCCCCCGTTACTTGAACCATCCATCAGCAGCTGCTTCCTTGGACGTATTACTGGGAGACCCGAGTAATAACACCATCGAACCGCCGGTCTCGCCGTGCAGGCTTCTTTCCACTTCCTCTACACTTGCTCGCAACGTCTACGCACTCTTATTCCGTATATCGTATATTGTATAGTAGATATCCTACGATCGAGTCTTCTCAAGTCAGAAAATGGATTTCTCACATCCGTTCTACGGTGGAGCTCATCCCTATCACTTTATCGGGATTCCTCCCTTGACCCCGTCTCATTCCAACTCAGCCGCATCCGACGAGTTCAACAACCACTCTCCACATGTTAGTGTATTCCGTGCCTTTACTTTGTTTCAGTTTTTAGTGTAGGGTTATATCACCTTGCCTAGAAAATGGAGCGCTGATCTCCCTACGTCACTCAGGATGTTTACGATGGCTTCCAGAATAGTGAACAATTCCAACAAAACTTTGAGCCGTACGCCCAATTCAATCAGCAACCTCAGGCCTTCCCCGGCCCTCCCGGCCCGCCGACACCACCGACGCATCCAATCCACGGTCAGAGTAGCCAGAACCAATCTCAAGTGAATAGCGCTTCGAGTGTGAAGAGTAACCCGGCCGATATACTACCTATGGCTAAGCCGGATCCCGATGCAAATAGACAGACGGGATCTAATTCGGATGACGACGATCTGACACCTGCCCAATCCCGCCGGAAGGCGCAAAATCGGGCCGCGTGAGTTACCCCCGGGGTCTTGGATTGGAAGGACGGTCCAACATGTGATAAATGAATATCGCAAGGTCATCTGTGTTTGACTAACATTGCATCCATCTTTAGTCAACGCGCATTCCGAGAACGCAAAGAACGACATGTTAAAGACCTCGAAGCGAAGCTAGCTAGCTTGGAAGCACAACAGCATCAGACGGCCAGCGAGAACGAAAAGTTGAAACGCGACCTGCAGAAGATGAGTACTGAGAACGAGATTCTGCGCGCCACGTCCAACGTCCACGCCCAGAACGGTTCCCTGTCGCCCCCCGCCCCGACGACCACAGGGCCAATGCAGTACAACCCCACGGACTTCTACTCGGACCTCCTCCAGAACCACACCAACAAGACCCCGAGCCACCGCATAGTAGAATCTGGCGGAGAGCGTCTCTTGGCTGCGGGTGCTACGTGGGATTACATTATTAATCATGAGTTATTTAAACAGGGCAGGGTCGATGTCGGCGATGTGAGCCTGCGGCTAAAATCCCAGGCCAAGTGCGACGGACAAGGTCCCGTCTTCGAGGAACGTGTCATTCTACAAGCTATAGTGGAAAGCGTCGCGAGTGGTAGCGACGAGCTTTTATGAGCGACGTAACTAAAGAATGGTGATAAGATTTGTCGTATCGGGGAAGACTCGTTGTTTTTTAAATCAGCAGCGAGGGGTTGCATGAGACCATGATGGCGTACAGGATCACGGGGAAACGATCTCGGTTCTAGTATTGGCAAATGGCGGGCAATGTGTCGAGCATCGATGAATGGACGAGCATGATAAGATCGAAACGCTTAGGTCTGCTTTATAGCAATGGGAGGTCCTCAGTGGTGCTCCAAGCCATCAATTCTCGGAAGGGTGACCGAATAACAAGCACCGGGAAGGTACCGCGCGGGGAAGGATATAGGGGTGTGCGGAGGGGAATGACATAGAGGACGACACCAAGCTTAAACATGGTCGGGGAGTTTCTGGTTGGAAGGTTATATTATTGCAAGGGTAATGGTGGTTGCTTTTTTAAAAGACCAGGAAGTGATCAAGAGGAAAGGGATACAAGACATTTATGATTCCAACCCCGTTCGATGTATTTTTCTTCATGGCCGTGTCTCATTTATTCATCTGGTGTCCAACAATAGGCGGCTGGTTGGCTGGCTGGGTTTTATATACCTATACCTATACCTATACCTGTGACCATTGATATATTATACTATATTATATTATATAGCTATTGCTGCATCTGAGATAGGATATATATCGGGGTTTCTGTTCTGTCGTCTCTTTATTTTTTATGATGTACTCTCTTAGGGGTTGGTTGGTTGGGTGAGGGGATCGGGCTGTTGTATTTATGTGTGGTTGAATTAAATAGAAGATATATCCATCCTTATAAATCCTCACCTTGTTCTCTCTCTATCGTCTACTTGTCTTAGCTTGTATGCATTGTATATTGTATACGATGCCAGTAGTTTTATCTGCTTTTTCTGCCCAGAGATACTTGGGAGTGTTGAATTGGACGGATAGAATGAAAACATGCATACAAGTTTGATACGTATGAGGACTTTTGACTTGGAAATAGGAAATATGCTTTGTTTTCTACAAGTAAGTCTATGTTCTAAACCTACGAACTTAGGGACGAAGCCCAGGGGAGACTTGTAAGCCCTACCTTTTGAACCAAACACTCACCACATATACATCCACTTTTTCGAATTGACAACGAGGGATATATCATTCGCTAACAGTTAGAACCAAATTAATAAATGATATTCTTCCTATATTCTATTACTACGGCTCTCCTCATTTCTATCCCTCATATGGGTGAGTATATCAAACCTTGCAAATACATACATAAACGCTCATTGCAAGAGCATAACATAACATAGCATAGCATAATATAATATAACAGAGCGGAGTGTAGACGCCCAGCACTTGGTCATCATTCATCATTATTTCGAACGTATATTCCCCTGATAGGCCGTCCATCCACCCAGCTCATTAGATATTCATTATTCCCCAGCCAAGCAAAATCAAGACATTGCCAACGCCCTCTTAGAGACATTCCGTCTTGTAGAAAGAAAAATATAATATCTGCAAGTCTCTTAATCCCGGAAAGATGTGCTTCCACTGTCAGGACATCTCATGCCCCTTAACCCAAAGTAATATATGCTTGCTTTCACTCACCCCCTCTAGTTTACCTTTTTCCCATTAGTATGTTCCTCAACCTCGACATACGGGTGCTTAATCGTAAGGCACCAGATATCCAAGTAATCGCAAATCGTAACAATCACATCGACACAAAAGACCCGTACACACCAATCGCGACGCCCAACATGGAGAACATGAAAGCGACCTGGTACACATCATCTCCGAGAGCGCTAGGCCAGCCGGAAGCCCAGCCGAAGTGCGACTGGAGGATGGGGCCGAGAGAGTCGATGATACCGTAGGCCAGGGGCAACGCTAGCACGTTCCAGTAGGGGAACGGGAGCTTAACCAGGTGTGCGGTGATGACCTGGCCGACGCTATACGCGTTCACGAAGCCGACGAATAGGGCGAAGGGGATCAGATGCTGGGTGCGGATTAAGGGCTGCAAGTACAAGTACCCAACGACGAGGACCCAGATGCTGCCGAAGGGCAGTAAGCCAAGCAAAGCCCAGCGACTGCGATCGCCGCGGGCACGACGGGCGCGGATGACGTTGCGTGCGCTCTCAATTGTGTTGAAGACCATGACGACGGTGCCTTGCACCATGTACCACTGTGTGAAGGATAGGTTATACAGGTACTCGGGGATGCCGAGGGACTTTGGGATATGCAGGGTTTCGAGCATAGACTGTTGCCAAAAGGAGGCGCCGCCCATGTACCCCGTCAGTGCGTATACGAACACGATGATCAGGATGCCTTCGACGGGGCCGCTGACGATGCCTAGGGTGAGGGTTCCGGTGTGGTATTCCTCCCAAGTCTGGACGTAGAAGGTCTGGAGAGCTGTTGGGGATACTCATTAGCTACTACCATGGTGCATTGTTGAGAACAAAGAGTTGCTTTGTGGATTTACATACAGGCAAAAAGCGCGGCGACCGTGTACCAGCTCTGACCCATGTTCTGCGAGGCGGCGAAGAGAATGCATTCGAGGGAGGTATTCAGGGCGTCGACGCCGTGGTCGAATAGCTCGCCGAGGGGACCGCTTTGCTTTGTTCGTCGTCTGAAAGATGCGAATTAGTTACCTCTGCTTCTGTCTCCGTCTATCTATAGCAGGGGTGGCAGTTCAAGTCTGCATGTAAGACATACGCTTGCGTCCCATCCACCGCATCAAAAGTCTGATATAGGAACAGACCAACAGCCCACGAGTAGTAAACCCAAGACGGACAGTCCTGATCGAGAGTAGGGTTATACCATAGCAGGGTAAAGAAGTTGGCAACAATGAACATGAAACCCGTCAAGGTGATGAGGTTCGGGGCCATGGACATGGGGAAGCACTTGATGACGACATTGGTGTAAAACGGCTTCAAGATGTACTTAGACGTTAACGAGTGGTCGACGCTCGAGTACTTATAAGCCTTTAGATTCGGCAGGAATTCCTGGCGCACGTATACCATCTTGACCGACGATGCTGCTCTTCGATAGGTAGAGTCGAAGAAAACTAAATTGATCTTAACAATTCTCTTCTCTGTATTAGTGGGCTAGCTGCTGTAACTTCGGATGCCGGATGCCAGATGCCAGATAGATAACAAAGGTATTAAACCTCTTCAACGCAGACGGGACAGATGTCCCCTTTCCTTTATTTAAAGACGATCAAAGAACAACTAATCGTCTAGCGGCGTATATATTCTCTGTGGATTAGTAACTATGTAGTATATATGTAATAGCAAAGAAAATAAATTGAAAACGAAAAAGATGAGTTGGCTATAGCTAGGGCAAAGGAAAAAAAAAAAAAGATGGAGAAAACGTCATTGTGTGCATCCAATATCGACGACCCATCCAATTTCAAGCTAGAAACATACCTGGGTTAGGTACCTAACCTACCTATTTACAGGGTAGTAGCTCCAGTGCCTATGTACCTAGCCTAAAGCAAATTCAATTAACGTGAATTGACGGAGGAACTGACGGGGGGTCGCGTCCCATGTGCAACGTGTAAATTACAACATGAGGTATGCACGTATGTACATATGTTCAGGTACGAAGGTACTTGTTTACATGTACGTATAACTACATAGAAGTGATCTGCCCACGTGGAATCCATGTAACTTATAGTCTTATATGTATCTATAAGTTGCTTGGCTATGCGAATCAACTAGAGAAAAACAGTAACCTGAGTTGTTAGAGCTTATTATACTGATCAATTCGTCATACCTATTCGGCTTCAACCTTTTAGGCTCACTCTGCCACTCGGAAGGTTACCGTAAATTCATCTTGGCACTTCCTATAAACACGGATGACTCGGTCCTTATCTCTCCTAGGATCGCACAAGTCCTGCTGCTCACCCCTTTCTCCATTCTCTAGTAATATGCATAAGGTACCCTCAAAACCGAAAGGACATCGCTCGTCATTTTTTGCAGAAACGCCTTTCCAGAAACCATCATTATTACGCGACGGATGCCACTACCATAGCAGCAACATTCTCCTCCTCGCTGCGTACTATAATCTTGGTTGTTACTCCTGATTTCGACGAGTACGCCATCCTGACATTTGCCACCACCCTTCCGCCATTGACTGTCTTGCCTAGGAGCTTGAGTTGATGTGTGGTCTGGTTCACCGGTACATCTGTACCTTCTAATGGTTGTAGGGAGAGTGTCTTGATAAGTTGCTCCGTAGCATCTGGTATTTAACGTTAGCCGTAACGCCTTAAGAGGGTAATAATATAAGAATATAAGCACTTACCTGCGATACTGTTCACCCCAGACAGCTGCATCGTCTCTTCAGCCTCCTCGCCAGCCGCGCCCACCTGTTCCCATACGTGATTGAAGTTGCCTGCGAACGTCGGTATCACGTAATCGCTACCGGCAAGATCGAAGTCTGATACCTCGTACTCGTCGTCGTAGCCAGTATCTTCAGGCTCGTTGGTAGTAGGATCAATCTCCTTGCTCGTGAACTTGAGTATGTTGGAGAAGGTGGCAGTCGGCAGTGATCCTTCGCCATTCGCTTTCTTGAATGCTACGTAGATCTTTCCGGGCTCATCCGTGGGGAGTTTCTCAGCCTGGATAATGAATACTTCCTCCAGTTCTTCTTCGTCAGATGGCGTTGCCACCACTGATACGTTTTCGAGGACAGTAGCTGGAAGAGTGTTCTTAACCTCATATTGGAGCACAATGTGCTCCTTGAAGATGTGCTTGACGACTGATACGACGTACTCAGTTTCGGCCTCGGTCAACTCAACAACAGGAGACGATTTGAGGACACCGCCAAACTCTTTCATCTCTGGGATAGACAGAAGTTCTTGAGCGTACTTCTGCGCTGCGGCGGCTGCCGAAGCTTGCGCCTCCGCGCCAGTTGGCACCGCCTTTGTGGGTCCCGTCTTTGGCGGCTTTAGAGATGGGGTAGTGGCCGTAAGCTTCTTCGTGCGGTCCTCAGCATCTGCTTGTTCCCGGGTGACGACCGGGATCTGGCTGATATCGAACGGAGTCTCGAAGGCCGACTTATCGTCAGATGTTACATACATGACAAGCTGGTGTTCGAAGTATTGTAGTGAGAACATATTTTCTGTGCTCCTGATTAGTTTTTCGTATCGCTTGTTTGATATAACAATGGACTTACCGTTCTTGATGAAGCGTTCACCCAAATCGTCTTCCTCGTGCATTAATCTCAGGTTGAGCGCAGCACGGTCACGGACTTCATCATCCACGTCATCCAAGCACCTAGTCAATAGAACGTCGACGCTACGCTTGACTTCGGGGTCCTTCTGACCCACACCGAACTTGGCTAGAGCGGTTACGGCTGCCGCTCTCACAATGGCGTTCTCTAGAACGACACGGTTGTAGATGTACCGGATGTACTTGGTAGGTTGAGAAGTCCTGGGACCTTCCAAACCTAGCAAGTGGAGGATACGAACAGCCAATTTAGTAAACTCGCAGTCTTCGATAAATTCGCAGAGGTGGGCGAGAGCGTCTTCCTTGGAATCCGGCACGAACTTGATGAGATCGAACATGCTTTCCACCACCGCTCGCTTGAACTCGTAACCACCTTCGTCGCGTAGGATGCCGCTCAAAAAGAAAGCATACCAGCTTGCTTGCTCGGGAACTTGAGGCATAAGGTTCGAATGGCCTCGACGATAGTAATCTTGAATTCGTCCGTAATTTCTGACATGAATCCAGAGATTTGCTTCATTAACCTATCCACACTTGCTTCGTTGCCGGTCTTGAGGAGCGTAGTAATAGCGAACGTAGCAATTGATCGGTTGCTGTTCGAGATGAGCGCCTCGATATCTGGGTTGCAAACATTGACAGCCTGCGGCTTGAAGGAAGCAAAATTGTGTAGAATTCGGAGGGCAGCGAACTTGGTTACGGCACGAGGCGAAGAAAGGAATAGCTGCAGCACATGGACAGCTTGGGTGACTTCGGCGTCCGTAACATCTCTTATATCACAGATTGCCTTGGCTGCCTCGAAATTGACCATTTCGCTCTTATGCCTTAACCATCCATCTAATAGCTGCATCATAGGCTTCCTGAGGGATTGATCCTCCTCAGCCAATTGCGCAGCCAACCTGACCAGCATCACTATAGCGGCAGGGCTCTTGACAGCACCAGCGGCACCAAACTGCTGCACCATCTTGACCAAAGCCATCCTATCATGAGATCGTATCTGATATAGGAGGCCAATGGCGTGGTATTGGGTCATAGTTGAGTTGTTAACCGGGAGCGAAGCAGAGGAAGATGAAAAGCCAAGAGAGAAGCCACCCGAGGATTTGGTCGAGGCAGCAGCCTCCTGAGTTTCGGACTGCCATCGTCGAACGACATCCTTGGCGATCGGGAGGAGATGGTAGGAAGATACAAGGGCGGCGGAGGATACTGAAGGATTCTTGTCGACTATCGCAGTCTTCATTACACGCTCGATCGATTGGACAGTTGTCGCCTACAAGGCATCAGCAAGGGGAAATTAGGAAGCTAGTATTTTGTATTGGGCTCACGTCGATAATGCGACATAGGGCTCGTATGGCATTCGGTCTGTAGATTGCGTCTGTGCTACCACCAGTATCCTTCATTATGGTACTCGTAACCATAATAATATCTTCTGCCGAGTTGGCAATCTCCTTGATGACCAGATGAACCATTTGTCGCAAGCTGGCATCCTTGTTCTGGAATAGCTTCGAGATACCGAAGAATAGAGTGGTGGCTTCGTTCGTCGGGAATTTCTCGCCGGTATATAGGAGGAGGGCAATCTTTGTTAAGAGAATGCGACATCTTCGTGGTTGAATTGGCGAACTATTGAACAATCGAGCTTGGTACTATTTAGCTGTGTACCATATTACCATATAGCGGAGTGGACAACTAGGGGGGGGACTTAGATGTTGAATTGAATTAGATTTACCTTCTTGGAAAACTTGGGTGCGATCGACCTTGACCAGGCCGAGGTCGGCATCTTCATCTTTTTTGCCGTAGCTCATGGTGGGTGGTGAGACGGCTGTATTAAAGGTGAAGGTTGAAGATAATCGCGGTCTTTGGTGTATTGCTTTAATTCACACATAAATTCGGGCCAGCACATTTCCCTAAGTTTAAGCCTTTGAAAGGAGCGACGTTGCAACTGCTCCAAGTCAAGCCACATGGTCCGTGCATACAAGCCACATATTAGGTACGTACCTACGTTATAAGAGAGGCCCGGCATCACATGGAAGTCTATTCAATTTTTATTTACAGTGTTGAGTCTGATTGTTTTATACCTACCTACCTACTCTAACATCTCGTTAGTGTCCTCTAGGATTGCTCTGTATCAGCTTCATCACGTTATCTGCGTATCCTTCTGTACCGCCATATTTAGCTATAACCTCCTGGATATCTACCGCCGAGGACGAGCTCTTTTTTCTGCCGATCAAGCCAGTATTTCTTGTACTTGGTATTCTCAGCATCTCAGTTTCTACTTCCCAACCGCAGTCCTTCTCTATATTTTTTATCCATTCAACAAGTGACGAATATGCTGACGGTGATTTGTTTTGCGCTTTCGGAGCGGGAGCCCGAAATCTTGCGCCGGTAAGATCATGACTGCAACATGGTATCATGATAAATGGACAGTTTGATATAGTGGCAAGTATCGGCGTCCACGGTGTCAACTCATCCGCATGATTTGATATGATAAAAGTTCCTTCAGGAAATAAACCATCGTGTATAAGATTAGTACTATCTACATCGTAGATGACCTCACCATTCCCGTACCTCGTACTTGGATCATGGTCAATCACAGAGGGAAGCAGGACGTGCTGCCTGAGGCTCTCTTGATGCTCAGGCTCGTCACTAATCGTATCAGAATACTGTTCCCATGACTTGCGTTTTCGGGCGTCAAACCCCCATCCTGAGTATCCTTCCTTTCGTAGGATGTATACGAGAAGACCATTGCCACAGCCGATATCAACAAATCCAGGGAACGGGGAATCCTTATACATCTGAGCCCACAGTTCCATAAGAAATGCTGCAATGCTCAGGTCTTCAAACACGTGCTTGGATGGGTCTGTGACTTCGACCCAGGTTTGAATAAGCTGACGGGCATATTTTTGTTTTAGCCTAGTATACGTATTCTGAACAGAAATCTGGGGAATGATGGTGTCGTGATGAACTCGCTTAGTATACCCCTTTTTAGTTCCTTCGCCATGCTTATGGAGCACTGATAACAGGTTAAGAGCCGTGCCCACCAACTTTGGTGAACGGTCCTCATCGTCAAAGAAATGGTAATGGATAGACACAGAGCCCTCGTCATCAGCGCTCCATTCGTGGAGAAATGCTATGCCTTGCACTTTTGGATGATAGAATGGCATGTCATCAGGAGATGAGACGTGGGGTTTGTAAATAACCATAGACCTTTCTACATTCCCCGGCCCGCTACCATGGTAAATTAGGCATGTTTGATCTAGAGGCTGATCTCTTAGAGTATTTCTTGGAATAAGCTTCCGCACTAGAGCTTTATCAAGGTGCATGTCTTCGAAGTAGAGAATAGTCGGCCGTGTGACCGCGGAGTCAGTAGTCACATCTTGTTGACTTAGATCCTTCTCAACTAAGATATCGGCCCGGAATAGCCAACTGGAATTGATATTCGGATTGCGAATCAAATTCATCATGACTTTGAAAAAGATTTGCGACTCGAACTCACAGGTCTTCCGAAATAAAGGAGTCCATCTTGAACCAGCCGAATCTTTAATTAGACTCGGAGAACCATCGGGAAGCTCTTGCGCTTCGAATCCCATTGCGAAATTGAGATTGATATGACAGTTATGATGGGAGGCCTTTTTGAATATGTGTTATGTTACCTGCAGGGTCTTTGGAATCGGGTCATGGATAGGTCGATCGAAGGGACACAAGATGACATAAGTAGAGGCTGTCCACTCGAATTGGCCAACGATGAGACCGATGTTCACAGATGTTCTAGATGTCCTCCCTTTAAGGGAGGCCACATGCAGATGCGCAGGGGGGTCAGCTGCTAAGAAGGGTAGGTATCCTCGTGAATATGTAGGTCCGCATATGAGTATGAAGATTGGGGATAAAATGGTTCAGGCGATGTAGATAGTGGATATAGCGAATAATGAATAGGTAGTGAATAGATATTAGGTACCTGAGTAGAGTCGTTGTTGTCCGCCACCTATCACATCGACAATGTTCATGATTTTCGAATGAAACTGAAATATTAATGGACAATTTTGTCTTAGTCTGGATTCCTGTTGTGGCACATGTCCGACATTGGCGGTATCGATTGTGTGGCAGCTGTACGGCATGTGCTTGCTGCATTCTTCCGGCATTTGCAACTTCCCGGTGACCGCAAATATTGGAAATTGAAAATTGGAAATTGTCCACTGAGAGGTCATTAAGCGGGGGAAGAGAAGTACTTAGTTACTTTCGCTCACTCCGTGAATTTTAAAGCTTTTGCTGGTTAGTTCCCCCATAATTGCCAAGTTCCAAGGCTGTCTGAGTCTGATAAGGCCGCTATGTATTTTCCATGGGTGGCACGAATCTTCTACCCTTACGCAAGGACAGGAGGTTCGACCGCCCCCCAGCCGTGGCTACCCTGCTACCAGCCTTTCAGGTGCAGGGGAGGACCCACCCACCCCTTGCCGATTCGCTAGTGGCCCGCTAAATCGATGTTGCCCCTCCATTCACTGCCTCTTGCTAGTTGCGGCCTTTCTCTTCCTCCCTCTTCTTCTACAAATTGATCCTTAGCCACCCATCAAGAACAAAACAACAACGTCAACATTTACACCATCTCTTAATCTCACCAAACGTAATCAAGAATTGCATCGTTTGGCTCCCCCGCCAACCACATACAGAATACTACTTCTTAAGATATCTACAGTTTAGCGAGGCCACTAGTACAGTTGTCTGTCGCTTCACCGAGTTCATCTCCACAAACCCTTTTCCCCAAGTTACCCCGTAAACTCGAGTTTATGTCAATCGAAAACCTCAAGACCTATGGTACGTGTAGTTTATTCTTTATCGTGGGATGGTAATAGGGGAACAGAGAGAACCATTGATGTCTTCCATAGACATCCATGTTACTGCTTCTTTTGTTGCCCTTGCTATCTAACTCAATGATTCTCGTTGATACATCTCCCTTTCGCGTCATAAGCTAACCAATATTCAAATAGACCCCTTCGCCGAAGCCGATGAGGATACAGGTGAATCCAAGCAGTCACAAAACTATATCCATATCCGCATTCAACGTATGTTCACACATTATGCCTCCGATATACCTACCTCACGTGTGGTAGTCAACTCGCGCCGCATTGTTCCATCCCTCGTTTCCACCTTGGAATATGCGACGTAAAACTTGGTATGCTAACTAATATCTTATTATAGAGCGGAATGGACGTAAAACCTTGACCACTGTGCAAGGTCTTCCGAAGAAATTCGACCAGAAGAAAATCCTGAAGGTCATCAAGAAGAAATTCGGTATGTTGGAGTAACGCCCCGCTTTTTCGTGTAGCCCCTTTAATGTTTGTTTGTTTGTTCATCATACTGATTGCGCTTTCGTGTTAGCTTGCAATGGCACCATCGTGAACGACACCGAGATGGGCGAGGTCATCCAGTTGCAGGGTGACCAGCGCAAGGATGTACAGGAGTTCCTCGTTGACAAGAAAGAGGGTCTAGAGCTTGATCCGAAGACCATTAAGGTCCACGGTTTCTAAGCTGGTCATGTCCACCAACCTTCCGTAACGCCCAACTATCGGTCGCGAGTTGCGAAATTAGATGGTCAGCCTTATATAGGTCAAAACCCCTGGCCGTTATGCGGTGGCCTTGATAGCTATCCGCTAATCGTGCCGAGGGCTGCACTACTGGTCGAGGCGTTTACGGAATGGTTAGGACATGATACCCCTTGTTGACTTCAAAGAGGCTCCTGGCTTTTGGTATTGCTAGGGCTAGGCTGAGGCCAGTCCGAGGAACGTATTATTCGATACTTTTATGGAGGCGTGGTATTGCGGATGGCCTGGACTTGCAGGACACTCTCGTTCCCGGTTCTGTGATAATGTTATTATCTATCAATCAGAACTATCTCCAGAACATGCTGTTTATAATATCCGATGTGACATGTCTGTGTTAAAACCCGAAATCGCAAATTTACCAGCTAAGCTGGTTAGTATTCATGTATTCTCCCATATGCTACTAAAGCCATTGATTTAATTGGGAAGTGTACAAGGATGTTTTATATGATATGAACTCAGGCGGTTTACTATATTCTGGAAACTTTTTAGAAGACGCAGGTACTTTATTTTCGTGAAGATAGTTATCATCATGTTGCTTTTTAGTGGATTCCTACGGATCAAACAGTCTAAATCTTTCTCAAATTTTATCTTAGGTGCTCAATTGTGTCCGAATTATTTGCTACTCAACTTTTGAATTATATCACCATTCCAATATTTTAAAGTGAATTATTTGCTCATTAAAAAGAAAGCCAGGAAACACCAATGAAAATGAAGGAGAACCTGCCCCTCCCAACGCCGCCTCCCACCTTCGCCCGGAGGAAGATCCGGATCCTAGAGCAGTTAGCCCGCCCGGATGATGAGTACACGGATGCTTCGCCAAAGGGATCTGTGGACGCGGGGATTCGCGAGTTGATTGGTGAAGTTAATGGGACGGATGGGTTTGTTACGACGAGTAGTTGTGGGGGAGAGTGAGCGTATTTCTGGAGGGGAGCAAGAAGGCTGTTGCTGAGGAGGATGGGGGAGAAGGAGATGGTGTCGATGATGCTGAGAAAACCGAGGTTAGGAAACTTGCGGGTATAGGCGGGAAGGGAGGTGGGGGTGCGTGGTTATTTGTCTCGCATGATCCGGTTCCGTTGGGACAGGGCAAAGGGGAAGATGTGGAGGAGATGTTGGGGTTGAGGAGTAGTCCTGAGGAGGGAGATGAGGCTGGGGAAATACTGGCGGATGATTCTGTTCGGGATGTCGCTGCTGCGAGGCTTGTTCACTTCAAGTTCGAGCCTATGGTAAGTGTACCTATTCCCAATCTCCCTTCCAGCCCAAGGATCCACTATGTACACCGCTGCTATGACGGTTTATACGTGGATATGCATTCATTACTGGGGCAGTGGAACACAACAACCTGATATGACGATTTTAGATTCTCCACGTCTTGACCGCTTCGCCGGAGCACGCCCAGCTACTCCTCCGGTGTGGTCTACAGGCCGGGTTCAGGGAGAGCGGTGCCGTGAGTCTGACCCCGGCTGCCGGGCGGGGAACAGTATGCAACCCCCATAGTTGCCATCCGGTCTATGGGTCTCACGTTCGAGTCCCTGATCGGATACCAGTCCGAAGGCACCGATAAGTTACACCGTGCCGTGTCGCCGGCTTATCTACGGACGCTTATCCGTATAGCTAACGAGCGGTTCATCGAGAATACGAAGAGGATCAATAGGTTCCGGACGGCTCTTGCGGAGGCGACTAAGCCGGTGGGCGAGAGCGGGTGGGAAGACGCGCAGGTCCGGGGAGAGAAAGAAAGCGGAGGGTCTGAGGAGGAGAGAAGAGCTACGGAAGCAAAAACATGATAGTGATGCCGCGGTCGTAGAAGACTCGACTTTAGATGCCTCCTTAAATACAGGTTTCACATGAATAATAACACTCGGCATACAGCACGGAATTGCAAGAACTTAATTGTCATCCATCTTTCTATACAGCTCTGTTTTCCCTTGAGCGCTTCCTAAAATGCCATGCTATAAGTGTTGAGTATTGTTACAACAGAGTATCTATCGTAGGTATTAGGGGAGAAGGGGAAAGGGGAGGGCGGGGTGACATCGTCCGAAGAGGCGATTTATTCATCTATCTCTTTTACTCTCTTTTTCTTCTTCTTCTTCTACTCTGTAAGCTGTAGAAAGTCTGTCATCCCCCGCCCTATTTATGAAACGACCTTATCTACCCACCCCTTCTCCAGCCTCCGGACCTCCTCCTTAAAAGCCTCTACTTCGCGCCAGCAATCCAGCGGACGGCGGTCGTTCTCGAGCAGGCAGCGCACGACGTTGCCGCGGGCCTGCTCTACGGTATCCGGCAGCGGGCGCAGCTGCTTGCGCTTGTCTAGGCGCGCCCGTAGCGCCTCGACTTCTTTTGACACGGCCTGCCGGTTGAGCTGCTTGTCGTCCTCGCTGGCCCCGCTGTCCGCGAGCTCCGCGATCTTGTCTTGCGCCGCTTTGAGGGCCGCTGTCTCCTGCGCCTCGAGCTTCTTGAGTTCCGAGGCTACGCGCGCTTGGACGGCTAGCTCTAGGGTCTGCGCGCGCGTGGTATCGGTCTGGTGGGTTTGGACGAGTGGTTAGTATATGGCCTTGAGATGTTGGGTCTTGGTGGGGGAGCGGAAGTTGAGGGGGAGGTAGAAGGGTGGGCGGGTGCTCACTTCGCTACTCGACTGGAGGGTTTCGACGACATCGTGAGAGATTCCTATAGGCGAGGATCTAAGAGAAACCAAGAATATTAAGTTAGTCGAGAGATGCTAAGACGATGATGTATGATATAACTTGAGACAAGAGAATATATTCGGAATAATTATTCGTAATGATTTAGAACTTACGCCTTCCAGACATGTGAGGATTGGCTCGCCTCAGGCTTAGACGAGCTCGAACCCATGATTGTCGGCTTGGTCAGTGGGCTGGGCTGGACAGGTAAGAGTTGCTCTGAATCTGCCTTTCTGCTACTTGTAGGAAATAAATCCCGAGCTCTGATGATGCTGCTGCCGAAAAATGTCTACGGTGCGAATTGAGAGATTTGCAGATAGAATATGATAATTGATACTGTGAAGCCACCACCTTGGATTATTTAGCACGTGATATTTGCATAAATAAACAATATGCATAACATCTGTCTAGCTTTATACATTCCCCTTTTTCTAACACATATTGAACACGCATCAGATTCAAAGAAGTGAATATTCTGAATCACTTTGTTAGATCATAGAACATGTCTTACATGTGTGCTACGGTTTATCCTAAATTAAATCGGAAGCTACATGCAGTACTTTCCAATAAACACTCTGCAACTTCAGTTGGCCCTCGGCTTGACTCCGACCTGGAAGCCCACAGGTCTCAAGTTAAACCAACCGTCTTGTTCCAACAAGTAACTAGGATCAACGCTCTCAAAATCAATCTCCTTATTAGTTTTGCCAGCACGACCATACTGAACTGCCAAGCCCAGTGCTTCCCGATACACTCTCTCTTCCCGTTTCCAAACCACTTCTTAACTCCGGGAAGATCATCAAACGCCTTACCTATCATCCGCTCAGGCCTGAATGCAAGAGGTTTATCGAATACAGTCGGGTCTCTGTTGACTCCTGCCAAGACAATGATCATGGCCTGATTATGTGCGACTTGGTACTTGCCGCCGGCTAGCTGCACGGGGGCCTTGCTATCACTGGTATAGGTTCAATGTTGAATCCCGGCGCGGCGAATGAGAGTCTAAGTGATTCGCGCATGATTCCCTCGATGTATTTGAGCTGTGCCAGGTGCTCGAATTGAAACTCGCCGTCACCGATGATGGAATCTAGTTCCTGGCGCGCATCGGTCACAACTTGCGGGTTCTTTAGGAGGAAGTATATCGCAGTGCTAATCATTCCTGGCGCCGTACTGCTGCCGATCGGCATGGAGACCATCTCGTCGATGGCTTGTGAGTCCGTCAGAGATATGCCCGTCTCCGGATCCTTGGCGCTCATTAGTATCGCAAGGAGATCCTGCCGATTTGTCGGATTTGCCTTTCGGTAGTCTACTAGTTCTTGCGCGTATGTTCGCATATTATTCGTGGCTTTGGTGAACTTACTACCGTAGAGTAGCCAGTTCATTAACTTGGGACGATTAGGTCGCTTCATCGCTTCAGACGTTGAGTCTTCCATCCCTTTTATCATCGGATGCTCGGGCCCGGAGAGACAGTTCAACTTCTTCCCAAAGAGAGTCAATGTCGTCACCTCGAGGTTCAATCTATTCAATTCGCCGATGGCAGATACCTTGTTGTCGATACCGAGCCCTTTCCACTTTGTGATAAGCTCCGTGGTAGTGTCTCGCATCTCAATGAAATGTTCTGCGATTGATTGCGGACTGAGCTTCGGGGCGATGATGCGGTGTGCGATGCCCCAACTCGCCTCATTATCAAAGGCCGTGAATAGAGCATCGTGCACGGCGTACCGTATCTCGACTATCGGACCGCCGACATACTTGCGGAAGCGTTTCTCATCGCACAACTCCTCCGCAATGGCCGCGCCAGCTACGAAGACGACAGTATGGCCTAACTTTGATCTGGAATATTTCTCCGTATTTCTCTGCTAGCTCTCTTAGCGAATCCCACGTATTACTTGGATCGATATCGAAGATGTTGCCTAGGAGGGGCACACCCGGTGGCTGTGGGATAGGGTCTGACATGATGTCTATTGCTTAACTAGAGGGAAGAATAGAGCAAGGAAATGAGCTATCTGCTACAGCCTATTAATAATACAAGAACCGATGGCGCACGAATATCCAGGTCACACCGCAACTGTATATACGCCTTTTACGTCACGGGCGTCCTGTACGGTATCGTATCTTCTCTCTTCTCCCGACAACTCATCGCGCAGCGGTTATGTTGAGTAACGACTCACAGTACTACTATTAATTTCAGGACCAACATGGTAAGCATATTTCAATAGAGATATCAATGCTCCTCTCATTCCCTTTTCATTTGACTTCATATATGATTCGGAAAGTTCGAGCTCTGTATCATCGTCAATCTTACTATGAGAGCTAGATATGCTTTTCCAATTTTCTTTTTTTTCTTATTAACTGCGGGGAATACTAACTTGCAAAGAAAACTATCGTTGTGGCTTATGCAATATTGTCGATCGCGAAGGGAAACTCGTACACTATCGGACAAAGCTGCAGGCGCATGCATTAATTATGTTACCATAATTAAAATGACATTGAGAACCCCTATCATAGGTGGGCTATTCTAATTAATAGAAGTGGTTGGTCTCCAAGGTATTCCGAGCGCGTTAGCTGCATCTCAATAGGGATTTCAGCTGGTGACTATTATCAAGCGACTTTGGTATGAAACTTCAGATAAAAGTTACTAGATTAATATTAAAGTAGAAAATGGCTCTCCTAGTGTCTTGCTATACCAGTAAACATAAGCTTAGGTACTGGCTCTTTGCGTAGAACGGTAGGCCCCAACGCCTAAAGCTGAAGCATCTACTCGTTGTGTTTATAAGTTTGTATACCTAATGTAGCAATCCTTTAACATTGGATTATACTAAGATTATATGGGTAGGGGTAGATGATAGATCTACTCGGATTGGGTATATAGGAGGCGCACAACGTCCTCAAGAGAGAATAGAAGGGCAGGCGTTGATAATTTAATTCAAGTATCATGGCAGTCACTATATCTATGGCACCAATCGGGGTATCAATCTCTCATATTCTTTGCTCAGTAGGATTTGAAGCTATTCGTATCACTTCTAGTTGGAGATCTCGCATCTCATATGAATCATGTGAACAAGATTAACATTATCGTACTTGAAAAATAAAATATGCGAGTTTTATCTTCAACATAATGCACTTCTCGATTGAAAATAGCTGATTATGACCGAATGAAGAATCTAGTACCCAGTCTCATAAATAGGGGGGGGTACGTATCCACTTTTAACTCCTAGGGAGTGAAAGAGAGTACAAAGGGGAATCTACCTAGGTACCTAGTTATTATATACACAATATAAACTACTTGAATTGTTAATGTAGGAACACTTATGATATGGTTAAGTAAGCATTGACTTCCTACTCAGTAATTCTTAGAAACCTTAGAGTTAGTATTATTTCAAGCCCTCACGTAAGTCTCTTGAGATAGCTTCAGCGGTTCTCCAAAACTCACAACTAGACTATAAGCTGCATTTGAGTCTCAAAGAAAGGATGGTATCTCTAAGCAACTGATTTAAGATCTGGGCTCAATATGATCATCTCAAGCCAAAACATCCACGCTCGGGATTAATCGGCTGGAGGTAGGGTCGGAAACCTGGACCCCCCCTATTGACGTCTCACCAATCATGATAAGTGGCTAGTACTCCTAGTTAGAAATATTGCCGATAAACCAATCAACAGATAGGAGCTTATTAAGAACGACTTGTAAAGCTTAGGAAGCTCTTTCGGTTTGGAAAGATGTAAGATGGAAGAAACTTGCCCTAGCATATCATGGACATCAGATTCCGTTCGTACTCTGGGAAAGGAATTAACAATAATATAGGGGCCTCACAGTAGTTATTCACCAGAAGTTATTATAAATCCGCCCGATACTGATTATTCTACCCGTCCATCTCGGTAGCAAAGATTTGCCTATTCCGAGAATTACTTGATTAGGTAAGTGTATGCAATGTTGATTGGCTGGGGAAGATAGTTACTAAATAGGGATATAGCTATAGATTTTGGTATTTCGAAGGATTCTGGTGTGGAATACTGCAGTTTAGTGTAACGGACAAGGCCTATAGTATAGCTCTATAGTTGCCGACAACCCCGCCTTTAGGAAGTATTTACTTGTTTGTATCCTTGAGTAGATCTTGTGACTTACGTATGGGTTAATACTCGATGGCCCAATCTGTATCCTTTAAGGCTTTCCCTGCTGGTTTCTCCCCCCTTCTGCTAGCCTCACTCTTTAAATGTCTCCAATTTTATCCCCAATCGATGCCGCTAATTAGGAGATATAGTGACCCAAGATCGATGAAGTGCGACATGCAGTAGTATTTCGAATTTAGTTACGGATATAATGGGCGAATTATGGCATGGCGGCTTCCAAAGGGAACGTACCGCTCGTTCTGAATGGTGACTTGTATACTTGATAAAGGGGAGCCAATCATTAGAGTTCTGTAACCATACTGAAGGTATGCTGTCATCACCACAACATACTTTACTACTCAAACCCTGTTCGATTCCTGGAAAAGAGTAACTTGTCATAAAATAGCTCATTAAGGTATATTGATACTAGGTGGTGCGTGATAAAAGAAAGGGAAAGTGGATGTTAAGTAATATAAGAGACCAGCGGTCTCCAGTAACCATTACCTGTGGAGATTACTCAGTTATACGAACTATAGTACATAACAAGTCAAAATGGGGATTAAAACCGACTTTCCCGTATTTGATAGCATCATTTCGCTGCCATTTCCTTTGACAATTGCTTCGCTACTTGTTGCTGTTATCGCCTTCCGCCTTCTATGGAATAGATTCAGGAAAGACTTGCGTGACATCCCAGGACCAAAGGTTGCGCGTATACAGGTCTTTGGCGCTGGCTCGATGTACGGACCGGCCAAGCCCACAGAATGCTATTAAACTGCACAATAAATACGGTTCACTTGTCCGAATCGGCCCAAATCACGTCTCAGTCTCTGATCCGCGTGAGATTAATAACATCTATGGGTTGAAGTCTAAGTATACTAAGGTATATCGTGGCATTATATAAGATGTCGACATTACAACCTTGAAACCTCAAGATGAACAGCTTAGATACTGAACAGGTGGTGTTATAGACTGAATTTTACCATCCCATCCAATCCGTTATCTGGAAAGGCAAGGCCGAGCCGCACTTATTCACTATGCGAGACCCAATTGTCCACCGAGAGTCGACGAAGATCCTCGCCAACGCTTACAGCCCAACATCGCTCCTAGCATACGAACCTGGTGGATGAGTGTATAAACCTTTATTATATCAAATCGAAAAGCTCACAGACGAGAAAAACCGATTGACCTCGGCGCATGGATGTCATACTACACCTTCGATGTTATTGGACAACTGTCGTTCTCGAAGATGTTTGGATTCCTCGAGAAAGGCTGCGACGTGGATCGAATAATAGAGACAATTGATATCATTTTAGTAAGTATCCCGCGTTTATGAATTATAATAGTATGGATGACATCTTGCTTATACAACATGCAGACATATGCTAGCCAATGTGGTCAACTCCTGAACTGGCATAAATTTCTCCTGGGGAATCCACTCTTCCTGGAGGAGCAATGAATCAAGTCGTCGACTTTGCTTTAAAAAGCTGTCAATGGGTGGCTAGTCGGAAACACATCATTAAGAAAGGGACGGAGAAGAGCTAGATCTTTAGATATTGAGAGCAGAGGCGATATGCTAACCAAATGGTACGCTCTGAACCAAAATGGCTCTCAGTGGATGACCACTAAGCATCTTGTCGCACACTTGAGCGCAAATGTTTATGGAGGTTCTGACACTACATCTATCGCCTTGCGGTCTATATTTTACTACTTAGGCAAGAATAAAGACAAGATGAGGAAACTGGTGGAGGAGATTGACGGCGCGGCGGCTGCTGGAAACCTTAGCCAACCGGTCTCGTTCAAAGAGGCTAACATGCATCTGCCATACTTAAACGCGGTGATCAAAGAAGGCATGCGAATCCACCCATCTGCCGGCCTTATATACGAGCGCTACGTCCCATCTGGCGGTGATACCATCTGCGGAAAATATATCCCTGGGGGAACTGTCGTTGGAATCAACCCATGGGTTACGCAGTATGATCCCGAGGTATTCCCCGATCCCGAAAGCTTCATCCCAGAGCGATGGCTCGACTCGACCGAGGAGCAGCTGAAACGAATGGAGCAGTCGTTCTTTAACTTCAGCGCAGGCTCCCGCACGTGCCTTGGACGACATATTGCCATGATAGAGATGTCGAAGATGATACCGGAGCTGCTACGTAGGTTCGAGTTGATCCTGACGTATCCTGACCGCGAGTGGGAGACTAGGAATGTGTGGCTTGTGAAACAAAAGGGGGTGATTTATAACATAACGAAGAGATCATGAATTGGATATATTATTGTCGGGTATTTGGTTGAAGCGGACGGGCTCATCGGCAGGCTCCCGTTACGGTGGACCATTATGACATTAGTGCTAAAATCAAGAAAGTAAGTAGTACTATATCTAATAAAATAATAGTAAGGCAAAAATATAGTATAAGCTTAATTAATATACGCTATATATACAATTATTACCCCTTTTAACCTTATACTATAATAACTTTATAAATATCTATCCGAATATTTTTCGAAAACTATTAATATTTTGATTAAAAAAAGATAAAAATTATTATTTAAGTTATATACAATTTAACCCAAAATTTGTAAAAATATTAAAACAATTATATATACATATTCTAAAAGATTAACCAATTAAATATCGCCTTTACTTTAGCTTTAACCTTATATATATAAAATACATAAATTTAACAATAATATTTAATTACTTATATATATATACGTATTTAAATAACTTTACTAATATATTATTTTAAATATTATAATTAATATCATATTATAACCTTATTTAATGCGAAAATAATAATGTAAGTTATATTTATATAGCTTTTAGCTAACATATTATATCAATATCAAATAAGTTTTATATAGATATATAAAAAGGCTAACACGTGATACCCTTTATGACCACTGTAAAATCCCGTATATATATCATTATATATAACATATTATTTTTACAAAATAAATTTAAATAATTACCCAACTAATTTAATAATTTTTTTCATACTTCAATTAAAATAATAATATTTTTTTCAAATTTTTAAAAAAGATACTTAAAAAGTTATTATATAATAAGTAAATAAAAAAAAACTTGTATATATTCCGTATAGTATACTGTGCACCTTTCATACTAGCCTTTTTTGGATAGCCCTGACCTATTTTCTTGATTTTGGCACTAATGTCATAATGGTCCGCCGTACCCGTCCTTGTAATAACTATATGGCCAATCGGATTTCGCGTTGCTGCTGGGTATGACAAGCATAACATCGTGTCATAAGTTATGGACGGTGGGATTCTTCGTCTCCGTTCTATTAGGTATTTATTTATTTATAGGTATAGCGTAAGAAAGTACCTAGGTATTGAAAAGAAATTTCGTTTTCTTTTATAATTCTAATAGAGGCTGCCTAGTAAACGAGATAGTTCGCATGTTAACTACCTGTTCGTAGTCAGTGCCTCTAGGACTTAATACACCGGGTTTGGAAGCACTTATTTAAGCCATCCTAAAACAGGGGAAGATCGTATAAAATGAAAGTTTAGTCGCGCAAGAGGAGAGATAAAGCGAGGCGCGTCTAATCTCTGCTTGTAGAGCCGTTGAATTAACAAGCCTGACATGCTTATTCTGGGATTCTACTGGATCAGAGCCTTGCCCCCGTCCTTGATATTAGATGTATCATCTAGAATCCTAACACCCCTTTGCGTTAAAACTTGTCACGGTGTATATACCGAACTTCCGAACAAATCATAAACCCTATGCTCTCTCCTTGGACGTGACATAATTAATGCACCTGGAATGAATGGTTGCAATAGCCTTGCCAAATTGAAGATCATTACTGTATATTATCACCAGGTCTATATGCGGCGTCCAGCCTGCTTTTCCATTGACGCGATAAAGAGTAATGGCCCGTATTAATAATGCACCTGTAACCTGAGCTGAAAGATAGAATATGCATATTTAATTTGAGGGTGGTAAGCAAATTATGTGCCCCATGTTAGATTTCGTCTAGAATACTTCGTTGTCTTATTTGATTATAAAATAACGCTTCTGAGGCTTTAGGTACCAACATAGTCAATTGAATCTACTGCCTTTAGATCGGAAGACTTCTAAGCCGTATTCCTACCTAAAGTACTTCAGGCATTTAGTACTTCAATCTTTGAGTGTAGGTTGGAGCATTTCTTGCGGTTGCTCAGGACTAGTTCTTCCAAAGCTTAAGGCATGGACTCATCGGAAGAGGTAAGTCTCTAGGAAGTTTTTGGGCTCATGACTATGGGTAGTACTAATCATATCTAAACGTAAGGACGTTTCTCCTAGCCTTTGGGATCAGGCTTTCAACATCTTGTCAGACAAAGAGAAGCTCCTTCTCAAATTTGACCGTTTCAAAACACCACACCAACCATCTGACATTATCCAAGTTGTCGAAGGAAAGAAGAAAGACTGCGAGAAGAAGCAATGGGTCCTTTATACTAATGAAGCAGGCCAGGAAGTGAAGGTCCGAGACGTGCTGGGTAAAGTATGCGATTGGCTTGTTAAGTTTAGAGAAATTGGAGACGCAGCAGTCCAATTTGACCCTGGCCACGCTGCTCTTCCCTGGATGGCTGTAAGAGCCCTCCTTCAGGTAAATCTTGTGTGTGATAAACCGAGCAGTGATATAATTCTCACAATATTTAGATGTCTGTTAATGACTGCCAGACATTCGGTGCTATGGTCGAAAGTATTGAAGCAATTTCGAGTATCGTCGCCAGGTATACCGAAGTTGAGGCCAGGATTCTTTTACGAACCTCAAATCTAACAAAACAGCTCTCCGGGGCGCTTGTTAAACTTTATGGGTCTTCCTTAAGATTCCTTGCACATGCAAGCCGATACTATGAACAGAAAACCTTTAGTAAGTCTTTACTATAATAAGAGGTACCTAACGTAGTAGTGTAGGGAGCAGATTCTGACATTTCTAATAGAACGGACAATCAAGAGTACTATCAATACTGTCATGTCTCAGGTCGAAGAACCTATGCTTTCTATAGCCAAGCAGGAAGAGGAAGTCTTTAAGCTAGTTTCCCTTGTGAATCAAGAAATAAATGGCATGAAAATAGACGATATCATCAATCTCCTCCGACAGGGTTTGGAGAATTCGCAGATTTCGGATGAAGGACGAGTAAAGCGCTTATCAGCCTGGATTAATGGTATCGACACAAAGAACACGTATGAAACTGCCCTTCAGTACCGCCATGAAGGGACCTGTGAATGGGTAATAAAACTGCCCGAGTTCTATGCGTGGATATCAAACGAGGAGCCGAGAGCGCGGCTTCTCTGGATTCATGGGCCGCCTGGATTCGGGAAGACCTTTTTGTCGGCTCGGATAATTCAACACCTCAGGCAACAGAAGCACGCCCCCTTGTCATATTTCTTCTGTGTGGCCGATAATCAGCTTACTCGTGATCCGTATGCCATCCTTCGGTCTTGCCTAACGCAAATGATTGATCAAGATGATAGAATCATGTTCGCCATGAACTCTGTCTATAAAGCCCAAAAGCAGGAACAGACTCTTACCCATCTTGGACTGTGGGAGCTATTTGTTAGCATCGGGGAAGTAGTCGAGGGGTGTACTTTCGTTATCGATGGTTTCGACGAGTGCATCGACATTGACAAAGGTACTTATCATCACGACGACCCAAGGAATCTATTTCTATGTGACCTGCTTAAGTACCTACAGAAGACAAAATCACGGATGATGGTGGTTAGCAGGGATGTTCCTGATATCAGGGAATACTTAGGTCAGGAAGCATCTGGAAAAAACGACACAGTTGAGCGACTAGTGTACGGTATTACGGCCAAGGACACAAGCGCAGATATACAATCGTTCTCGACATACATGGTGAATAAGAAGTTATTCAAGAAATCCGATGGTTTACGTCAACAGATCGCTAGCCAAGCTACTGAGAGGAGTGAAGGAATGTTCTTATTAATTAAGCTTCTGGAGAAAGAAATATCGCCTGGGCAGAACGCTAAACAGTTAAAAAGAACTGTGACCGAGATGCCCTCTGGAATTGAGGATGCCTATTCTCGTGAGCTTGATAAGATCACCCGTATGGAACCAAGCAAAAAGGAACAGGCTGTCATGATTCTAAGATGGGTTCTATTTGCTATCCGACCTCTCCAGGTTAAGCAGTTGACCGAAGCATTGGTCGTCTCTGATGAAGACCTAGACGAATACCCGGAAGATGATTTGCCAGACTCGTGGAATGATGGATTTGTTGATGAAGACTATGTAAAAGAAATGATATTAGGACCATGCGGATCTCTGTTACAGCTACGAGCAAGCTCGAAGGATATACCACTGGCCGATCACACCGTTCATTTCGTCCATTTCTCTGTCAAGGAGTATTTATCCAACTTAGCGAACCATGCCTCTCCCAATCAATGGGCAGTGAAACTTAACCTAAAGAATGCGCTCGCTGAAGAAGTACGACTCTCCAACATTTGCCTCCGGTATCTCACCCTGAATAAATCGGAGGATAGCCATTTCGACACTGTGATGTACCCATTCTTGTCTTATGCGTCTTGGGCTTGGTATTTCCACAGCTTTCACGAGAAGCCTGCACCATCTCAAGACATCGTAGATCAGACACATAAAGCTTTCGATCCAACTACTACTAGGTGGAAAGTATGGACACCTCTCATGGAAGCTGAACTGATAAATACAGACATGGAAGAATGGGACTATGGTGTCATCAGTGTGAGTGATGCTTCTTCAGAAACGGATGGCGATGATAGCCACAAGTCTCTATCACAAGAAGTACAGAATCCCATCTACTACGCTTCACTCCTCGGACTTATGGATGTTGTGAAGTGGCTCGAAGATAAGGGTTTGGAATTCGGCTGTGTTGGCGGCCGCTTTGGCTTTCCATTACAAGCGGCTGTAGCACGCAACCATGAAGAACTGGTGGAATACCTATTGAATAGCCACGTTGACGTGTCACAAAAGGGCGGACTATTTGGAGCATCTATTATCGCTGCGGCGGCTACAGCAGCTCCACGAATTGTTGACATGCTTCTCTCCGCCGGCGCCGATATAGCAGCGGTTGACGAGTCCGGGTACACTGCATTGCACCACGCCGCGAAACGGGGTAGTATCGAGATCATCGAACTACTCCTTAATCATAGTGCTGATATCAACGCAGTGACGGCTGATTTTTCGACAGCAGCAAGCTTGGCCTATTGGTCCGGACATAAGGACACGCTCTCTGTTTTAGTCCAGCGAGGAGTGGATTTAACCCCTGACGGTGACAATGCTAAACCTCTCTTGAAGGAGGCCATCGAGGAAGGCGATGAGGGTCTTGTTGATATGCTACTCGCTAAGGGGGTTTCGCCCAACACAATTTTCCGTAATGGATCAAGTGCGCTCAACAGCGCAATTCGTTCTCGGAAATTAGTCGAGATGTTTCTTAAAAAGGGTGCCGACCCAAACATGGTGGATGAGAATGGATGGGCACCGTTGCCATTGGCAGCAGGTAATAAGAATATTGATATTGTGAAAGCTTTGGTCGACGTGGGAGCCAGCATAGTTTGTGATTCCGAGTCAGACCCTGAGATACAATGTCCCCTCCAAGTTGCCGTCATCAATAACTGCCTCCCAGTCGCCAAGTTTCTCGTCGAACAAGGTGCAAGCCTAGACCAGAAGACAAGAGGTGGCCATACGGCATTGATGTTTGCTGTTTCTATGAAACACCAGGATATGGCGGAGTGGTTATTAGACATGGGAGCATCGGTCCAAGGCATATATGAGTACAGCCAGCAGTCGCTCTTTGATATCGCAGTTGAGACGTCTGATCCCGATATCACAGAGCTTCTAGTTCGTCGAGGTTGCTTTCAGATTCACACGCATGTTAGCTATTCACGCGGGCTTGTAGCATCTGAGGCTCGTGGTGATAACAGCCTGGTTATGTTGGCTTACCAGGGCAATCTAGAAGGTGTAAAAAAGTGCCTAGTCAATACTGGTGGATCCTCCTATACCAAGACAGTCGGCGAAGCGCTACACGCTGCCTCAGCAAGAGGACACTTGCACATTGTGGATGCTCTACTAAGTAACCATGCAAACGCTGGCATGGTTGACACTAATGGAAGAACAGCACTTCACCATGCAACCAGACACCTTTATTTTAACGTAGCTGATATTCTTGTGGAGCATGGTGCAAGTATCCTGCTCGAGGATATGGCCGGCTCGACAGCAATCGACCTTGCAATAATACACGGGCTAAAAGCTTACGAATTCATCAAAAATCATATGAGCGACTTCACAGTAGGAATCAGTCGGCGACCGTCCCTCCTAGCCGTGGCTCCAAAGCAGCCGACGAGTCTTACCGCTATTGGTATCAGGAAAGCCATCTCGGGATCATGGACTGGTCACTACGACTATCTTTACTGGGCGGACGGTCGAAGTGAATCCTTCTCAATCGACATCCCAGCCGAAGCACATAAAAACTCGCAGCCGAGCACTTTCTCAAACGAAAACCGCGATCTATGGGGGCTTTTCAAATTCCACGGCTTCGTTGACTCTAGCGGCACAGTTTGGTTCATCAAATTGTACGAGACACTAGGATGGCTTTATCGCGGACGAGTAGATCCGGAGAAAGGTACTCTAAAGGGGACTTGGGGCAGTAACCGGAAGCTATGGTTTGGGACTTTTCAATTGAGAAAAGAGGAATGAGCACTATGTACGATCTACGTTCACTTAAGGTAATGGCTAAATTTCTAATCAATTATGGATGATAGGTAATATGCTTAACGATATTAGATATGATGCTCGGAAAGACGGCAGATATATTTGAGACATACATATAGCCAAGTTATTGTACTGCGCCACCGTAGCGGAATGTCTCGGATCTTGGTGCTGGAAAGATGATACCGGACTGAAATTTCTAGAGCTCATATTAGCTATGACATATATCATGAGGCTGTGAGTAAGGCGTGAAGGCACAGCTAACGGTGAAGTGAATCTTATGCACCGTGGTGGGTACGTCAGAGTTGTAAACAGCAGCGGAAACGATTAATAAGGATTCCATCGTCGAGTTGATGGCCAAGCAGCCAAGACATAGTTACATCTTAGACTATGACGTCTGGGCGCTAGGCTACCTATTTCATGCAGATATTACTGTAGAAGATCCCGTAATGGCCGAATACGGTGGCTTTAAATTATGTGCATGTCGAACGTCCTGCTACTAACTTAAAGCGCCCCTTTGGCTCTGGCGTATCAGGGTTTGTAGAGGGACGGCCTCTGCCGCTTCGTGTGGTAAATCGTTCAATAGACTTATCTCCGAGCCTAGATACATAATAAAAGTACGGCATCTAGGTAACTATCTGGGGCATAATTAATTGGACTTAAGTTTAACGTTATCCTTTTTTATTAATAACAATAAATTTAATGTCTTTTCGGATCTCATCACCACTGCTTTGTTTGGATACTTGAGGGGGGTGTTAGGTTCAAAGTCTTGCACCTTTACTTCTTCTACTATCCGCTCTTCACTTTCACCAAAAGTAAATTCGGTGATACCTAGGCAGGGCTAGTGAAACGAAGACTATAGCTAAGCTAATTATAAATCTCATCATCATCATCAATCGTCCTAGAAGCTTTACATTAAAAGTTTTCTGATAGTCCTCTCGTTCTAAGGCTTTTTATACAGGTGGTGAAGATGGGATAAAGTATACTCTTGATTAAAGGTACACCCATCGGGACGTTTGTAGTGTTGGCTACTATAAATCATTCTCTCGTGACCTAGGAGCCAGATAGATGAGAGTCAAAGAGGTATATATCAAATATAAATCAGTAGGTACGTTCGTACAATAATACATCTATGTGGGCTAGTAGGCGATAGCCTGCTGGAATTTATCCACATGATAGAGATAGTTATCTGATCGAAAAGGGGCCTAGAGACACTTCCAGAATCCGAATATATGGTGGCGACAACGGCGATCCAACTTGCGACCAAAAAAGAAACCAGCATATATTTCAAACTGATACCTTTGGGGCAAACCGGTCTGAAAACATACTGTTCTGTTTAATATAGTAACGGGTATAGTCCGTGCATTTTACCCGTTAGTCTCATATAAGACCAATATTGAACCTTCAGGGGCCAAAGCAATATTGAATGACATAACCACCCGGCAAGCTGGATATTGCAACCGATAACCGTAGAATATATCTTGTTTAGGAGAATTTTAATTAATTTAAAGACTTACTTCTCCGATCTATACTAAATACCTAAGCCATTAGGTTGAAAGTTCTTCAGATCAATCTGCTTAATCCGGGAAAATTTTCGTAATATAATAACGGAAATTGCAATGGAGAGAAATGTATATGTTTCGATCTCATTCTCTTGAATGACTAGTACTGATATCGCCACGGGAGAATTTGAACGTAATATATGCAGAAAGCTTATAAGGGTGGATAATTCCGGACCCCCGCAGGAAGTTCCCGTAAGCCCAGGAGTGAAAAGAATAAGAAAGGTGCTGAGTTTATATGGCATATATTGGACTAGAGCCACCCCGATGTTTTAGCTGAAGCAAGTAAAGTGCTTAATCAAAGGAAGATATCGTGGCTCACATACTTTATTTTTCAGCTTCGGGTGAAGACATCAATATTTTACTACTCGATGAATGTATGTATGTCTAAGACATCTACTGCGTGTAACCGCAGCGCGCTTCCTAATTGTTGGAGTCTTGTAAATACGCAACAGGTATGTGTAACCCACGCTATGAACCATCGAAAGGCAGCGGGGTAGGTATTCAAAGTGATGGCTCGGTATATCCCTTAGCTCGGTCTTTGAATTATTCTGAAGTTTCGTTGGCTTGTGGAAATTTAATAACATTGTTCTTCCCTGCCATTTCCTTCTAGAAACTCTCTTACTCATGTAAACGTTGGAAAATTCTATTTATAACGTAGTATCTCATTTCTACATGGTGTTTCAATACGTAACACGTCCAAGCTGGTATAGAGGTACTCAGGTACCTTTACTGTAATGTCTATCTCTACAATCGAGGAGTGTGACTATGTTGTAGTAGGTGCTGGTGAGTGACCTAGCTTTTTGAACTTCCTGTTTATTAGTACAGTGGAATCTCTAAACAACCCCCCTTTCCCCCTTTCTTGTGGATATGACTAACTGAGGTGCTTACAGGGTTCTATGGGCTTGCAGTAGCAAAACAACTACATTGCACACAGCCTGACCGTACCCTGTTAATATTTGAAGGTCAATCTGCTCTGGGTGGCAAATGGGCTAAGGATAGGCTGTTCCCAGGCCTAAAGAGTAATAATCTATTAGGGACATACGAATACCCCGACTTTCCCATGACTGCTGATAGGTTCGATGTCAAACCGGGCGAGCATATTCCTGGAGAAGTAATTAACACGTACATCAAAGCGTATGCCGAAGAATTTGGCATCATTGATTTCGTCAAGCTTGAAACCACAGTCCTTACTGCAGAACACCAAGACACAACAGAAGGCGGTTGGATTCTAACGATTAAACAACGAAATCAACAAAAAACAACCAAGGTTCTGGCTCATAAACTTATCATTGCCACTGGATTATTATCGGAGCCTTTTATGCCAAAATTCAACGGACAGGACAAATTTGATAGGAAGATATTTCACAGCAAGGACTTCCCAAAGAACTTGGATACGTTGAAAGCAAAGACCGTTACTGTCTTTGGGCTGGAAAGTCTGGATGGGATGCCGTATACCAATATGCCATAGCTGGTGTCAAAGTAAATTGGGTCATTCGATGTAAGTTTACTCATTATGCTAAGACACTCTCAATGTGAGCTGAGTAAAGCAAAGCAAGCGGTCATGGCCCTATCTGGATGGCGCCCCCATATGTAACGCCGTTCAAGAAGTGGATCGAGAAACTTGCAAGTAAGTAATGTCTGTATTCAACCTCCATGTATCTATCTAGTAGTATACCCCGTCCTAAATTATGCATTTATGCTAATATCCTCTCCTAGACACCCGCTTTCTTACCTGGTTCAGTCCGTGTATCTGGGGTGATGCTGACGGTTATTGGGGTATCCGTTATTTCTATCATCGGACTGCAATTGGGCGCTTTATAGTAGATCGCTTTTGGAATATACTCAGCCAGGATGTCATCACTATAAATAAATTCGACTCCCACCCGGATACAGCCAAGTTGAAACCTTGGGTTCACGTCATGTTCACTGGATGCAGTTATAGCATTCTAAACTACGAGCATGACTTTTTCGAACTCGTTAAGAGTGACAAGATCAATATTCATATCGGGGAGATCATCCGGCTAAGCCCAGGGAAAGTTCACCTTGCCGATGGTACCGAGTTCGAATCCGAGGCGTTTCTAGCGAATACGGGCTGGACGCATGTTCCACCTATTAAATTCCTTCCAGAAGGGATTGAAAAGGAACTTGGAATTCCCCACGAGGTTGCAGAAAACGCGCCCGTACAAGACCTGGCAAACAACCATGCACTCCTAGGACGAGCTGATAAGGAAATTCTAGAACGTTTCCCGAGACTCAAAATACAACCAGTATGGAACAAAAATTTCGGTTCTCTCATAAATCAGAAAGGAATCAGCGCTGATGAAAGATCTCGTATACCCCTGACACCATATATGCTACACCGCTTCCTCGTCCCTGCGTCCCCTCGTTTTCTGCGGCCTCGAGATATAGCGTTTATAGGCCATCAAACCAACTTCAGCAACATCATCACTGCGCACATTACAGGGCTTTGGGTCAGCGCCTATTTTTCAGGAAAACTGACAAGGGATCCTTCGAAGGCCGTCGACGATAAGGAAGAGATGGAGAAGTTGCAATATGAGACTGTGCTGCACAATAGATTCGGCAAGTGGCGGTATCCTACCGAGTGGGGGAATAAAGGCCCGAATTTTACCTTTGATGCTGTCCCCTATTTCGATCTACTTCAGCGGGACCTCGGATTGAATCCGTTTCGGAAGAGCAATACTCTTACAGAGATGTATGATCCGTATGGGCCGGAGGATTATCGTTATATCAATGAAGAATGGCTGGAAAAGCAAGCTCAAGCATCTGGAGCGGATAAGTCTGTTGACTGAATAGCACTTAATTTTTCTCAGGGCCTGCTAAGCCGAGTGGCATTGCTGTTGTAAGTAAAAGGAACTATTAAGGACTTGGAAAATACATCTATACTACTCAGGGTAGTGATAGGTTAGACTAACAGCCATGTCACCCTTAGTATCATCGTAGACCGGTTTGGAAGTTTTAGTGAAATTTTGTGTGAATCTGTAGATTATCTGAATTTACTGAAAAAACGCGTAATATAAACGATCTATACACTTTAGTAACCGTCTAACTACTCCACCGAATATCTCTCCTTCTGTACTAGAACATCGGCGCTGTCGACTCTAACTTGCTCGGTCCAAAATCGGACCTCGACGCCAAACTCCGTAACGTCCGGCCCAAGAAGCGCAGACGTATTATTAGTCCAATCCGATAGAATCGTTATTCCGTCAACACCGTACCAAAAGATTGTGTAGGCTTCCTGGTGCGGATTTGGCACTTCTCTAAGATTTGCAAGGGGGAGCAAGTTGAGAGTGGCGTTCGTCGAGCCGTCCAGCTGAACCTCCTGTGTGATATTGTCGATTAGGGTGAGTCGGCCGAGCAGAGACAGCCATAAACCCTCGATGCAGGCGTCGCAGAAATTAGAAGAATAAGTGTCTCGCATTAGGCAAAGGTTGTTCGTCGGCCTGTATGAGGTTACGTTTTTGTCGGAAAATCTAGACGGTTGTTGGGTATTAGTAATGGAAATGGCTTGCGTAATGCAAACTTGGCGAAGCTTCGTTTACTTACGTCGGATATAATCCATGGTATCGTGGCTCAAAGTCGAACCTAGACAGAAGCGTATGTGAGATAAGTACCTAAGTTTTGGGTAGGACGATAAACGGCTTACTCTTCCTCATCCCCATATTCAATAACCTCGAAATTACAAAGTTGCGCGCTTCCTTGTCTCTCTTCGTTTAGTAGTGTGAATTTAATCTCATGCTCTCCCGGAGTTAGGGCCTCGTCGATTTTAATATTATAAATGTAGCGATCCTCTCCAACCGCGGGATTCCATTCCCAGCCCGCGTCCTTCCCATCGATCTCTACCAGAAAGTCACTAGTCGCTGTCACGCCGCTACGCTGACTTGGAGGAGATAAGTGGAATATGAGCCTGCTGAGGTGAAAGTCTGGCTCCAGCTCTGCGACGTATTCAGCAGTGTCCAGGGATATTCCTGTACTGGCATATTTGACCGCTGGATCTTAGGCTCAGTAGACGCATCTGTATACCACTGCGTCCAGGGCACCGATTTTGTGGATTTTGCCGCATTGACGCCAGTGTAAACTTCGCCGCCGTCGTATTCTTCGCCTACGCCAATGATCGAGTGGCCTAACTCGTGACGAATAATCACAGGTCCATTGTTAGGCGAAGATGTTGTAACACTGGAAGTCTTAGCGATGAACAAGTGCAAGATATTGTGTGGCTTACGTGAACGTGCCACCTAGTCCCCCTAGAATGGGTCGTTCCCAAGAAGAATGGGAAAATCGCATGTGTCTGTTGACTGACAGGCAGCACGTGCTACTTCGGGTTTGTCATAGTATACACCACGAAGCTCAGTACCATCGCGGTAAAGCCCATAGATGGTACTATTAGGATGCATCAGTAAGTAATTAGGCCGGCATGAATTTTGCGTAAAAAAAGGGGGAAACCTACTCCAGGGGCTTTCCACCAGTACCGACGCCACTCTTTCAAGACGTTAGGTAAACGAAATATTATATTAATGATATCACAAGGGATATCACCCACCTCATTACTTGGTGAAAATCCAGCCCAGAAGTTCAATACAGGAAGTACGTCCACAAATGTCTGCCCATCAGTAATATTATTTGCGAGGAACAGAGCATCGGCGAAGAACTTGTCCTTCTCATCTTCGGTATCTATCCGATTACAGTATTAAGTTAGTTTAAGATAACTTGATAAGTCCTATAGCATATAGTATTTTTTATACAAGTACGTACATCCGTCACCGAAGAAAATGAGATCGACACGATTGCTTGATGGACCATTTACGATGAGGGGTCGAATCTCTAATGGAGGCGGATCGACGTTCTGCCTCGCTTGTAGATACGGGACGCCATCTACCTTGTGGTCTGCGAATTCCCCCTCCCACTGGTGTTCGCAGAACTGCCCAAGAGCAATACTGGTGATCGCGGCTTGGACGAGGAAGCTCTTGACAGTATTCATTGCGGGGTTCCTGGCAGGCGAAGGGAGGTAAGGCTTACTAGAAATCGGGTTGAACATGACCTTCGATTTATATATTCGCCATCGTAACGCTCACCGCATACTTTCAGTATTTTGCTATGCGTGGGAAAATCTACCTTCCGGAAGCGGGTTAGGTGTGATCCTTGTAACCTTCCCCATTCCCCAATCAGCCATTATGTCGTACCCGTTACAAGGGTAGGACGGGTTGGTATCTCCAATTCTCGTATCTACTGGAAAGAGAAAAGAGCGTCGTTCGATTGCTATCATGAATATAGATTTAGGGTAAAGAAAAGATAAACACCCGCGAGATCCTTGGTTATAGGTTTTAAAACATCTGCTCTGCCTCAGATTGGGTTGTCAATTAGATAAGAACTTTTTGAGTTAATTACCAATTTCCCTTTTTTCCAGCTTAATGTCTATCTAGTCCTGATATATATTAAAAATTAGTATCCAGTGCTTTTGTATGCTTTTAGTTTATCAACTTAGCGCTTAGCTGTTGATGCTTGGTTGCTTGAATTATGGAAATAGGGGTAAGGGGTTGATTCTCAAAAACGCTTGGGCCACCTAATCGAGTTATCTCTAGTTAAGAGAAATCTATAACTCGCTAATATTCTTAACTAGTCGATATTAATACAATGAATATTTCCCTTTGTTTATAGACATAGCTATTTATTAAACTTAGATACATTATGCAGAATTCAAGATATTAAGTATACCCCATTACTTATGTCCCAATGTATGTTTAGACACTATCATATTAGCAACTTTATAGATATGACAACACCCATGATCACTGCCTGGATTGTAGATGAGGTACCAAATGGCATTCGTAAAATCAGAGGTTAACCTACTTCTAGTTACTGTAGGTATAATAATAGGATTGTCTAAAGCTTCTTAAATGTTCATACCTACGTAAGGTACCTTGGTCTGTACTAAGTTATACGGTAGGTAGCGACTAAAACTCTACGAAGATGAATCATAAAAATACCCAAGTCTTCGTTCTTTACTATCAATCAGAAGAAAGTATTGTAATTTGGTTTTATTTATGCGCTTAACGAAAAAGCTCTATATCTGGCGGAAGATACTGACTAGTATAGAATCCTACATTGCTACTTCCTGTATTTATAACCCTGTGCAACTAAGAGGTGTCTATTACCATAATGCCGTGGTGCACTTGGGAACGGCTGGCTTCTAATTCACTCAGTAATTTGGTATATACAATGCCGCTCCCTGTGATACGCTAGCTTTACACAATACATATGCGGCTAAATAAGTACAATTATCGCAGGGAAAACTTCGTGTTATCGGTAAAAACAGTGATATAAACTCTCATAGATAGGGTAGGGCGATGTCTGTGCTATTAGTACTATATCAACTATTCTTAACATGGTTTAGTGTCTTCGATATGCAACGTCGTAGATGGTGGAAAGGGGGGGACTGAATGCTAGGTAATTTCACACCAAGAGAGATGTAGTCAATGTTTCGTCTTAAATAAGTCGATCAATGCGCATACTATTATCTTGATAGAGTATGCGTGTACAATTCAGATGCATTCTTGACGGAGGCCAAGCCGGTTCCAGTCCCGATCAAGGAAACAAGGAGAAGCGACCGTGCGGCAGCCAAGACGGGGGTCAACCCTTGCCATTCACCCAAATATTGGGGATATGAAGCGCCGCCGGAAGCGCGCCGTCTATCCTTGTCCCGGCCGGGATGGGACGTTTGCGAGAAAGTGACTGATCATAGTGTCTTACGAATATCCATATTCGGTGCATACTCATGTTGCAATAGTTACCTTTGATGTTGTCATAGCCATTATATTATTGCGAGTCCTTTCTAAATTATCACTCCATATTTTATATGGTTTGCAAAGAGTACGCGTAAGCTAATGGATCTCATAGAAAATTTCGGAATTTGGTTGGACTACGAATCTTGCGCTGCAATAGAACTTTTCCGCCTTAGTGTCATAACCAACCAACTCGTAGTTATCATATTAGTTTCTTAAGAATAATTGCTATTAAAATTTTTACTTGTCGTGATGAAAGGTTGCAAAGAGTGATGGCGCTAGAGTTGACAACCCTTAGAAAGTCTCCGCCAATTGTTTAGCTTAATTAAACGCGGGATTAACGCGGATTCACTGAAATTACGCGTCCTTTAGTTTTAACAAATTAACTAATTAAGACATTCTAAAAGTCGACATGTATGTAAATGTTTCATCTTTGAAATGGTCAATTCGTCATCACTTCTTATGATAGAAATTCTTTAAACTTGCCGCGTAATGGTGTTTTAAGTGGAGTTTCGAACCCGGCAGACACTAGCGTGACTCTCTAAAGGATAGGAACTTCCAATGTCTATCTGATTAACTTGTATGTAGTTTTATGTGGGTAAGGCTATTGCTAATAATAATAGACATGAATCCTAGATTGGTAAAGTAGAGTCGTACATATTGAGGCTTTGCGATTCCGCTGTTATTGGATAGGGCTGGGGAATGTTATGCACACGTAGTTCCTCATCTAGCCACTTACTTGGTGTGGGTTATGGACAGAGATTAGACAGGTAACCCGGGTGGTTTTTGCATTGTACTCGTGTTTCTTTACACATCGGCGGCTGAGTTAATTATAGGATGCCGAGGACTGGCGTTAGATGGAAAATAGCCCCTTTTCAAGGGTATTGTCTTTCATGAGGTTGGAACCAAACAGCATGGAAACAACTTCATTGTATACATACTAAACATGTCCTTCATTCTGGATGTCTCTTATAAAATCCTGATATTGTTTATGAAAAACGGGACTAAACGTGTACATATGTATAGAGAAGTCTATGTCGTAAGAATCAATTTACTATAGCCCAAGACACTTCAGATTATCATTTCTTATACGGACGCTACTATTACAATCTTTACTGTATACACTCCTCGTTTATAACGTCTTGCCCTCTGAACTATCGCAGCTTTTTCCACTCAACGTTTAACTAGGCGTCGACTTTTCTTTAAATTATACAATTATCATTAACTACATCAAAATGGACTACGCGTCGAAGTACACTCCGAAGCCACTCACAGACATCTTTACCTGCGATACCGACATTGATCGGCGACAATGTACCCGGACTGTTCCGATGAAGGTCCTTATACTCGGATGTGGACGAACAGGAACAACATGTAAGTGTTTTCTATATACTATAATAATCTTTCAAAAATTAAATTTATTGACTTTAATCCAGCTATAAGAGCCGCAATGAAAAAACTCGGATATGTCGACACCTACCACATGATGAACTGCTCTATCGAAAACCCGCCTGACGCTCTCCTATGGATGGACGCGCTACGGGCAAAATACGACGGCGTCGGCGAACCATTCACCCGCAAAGACTGGGATAAGCTTCTCGGCGGCGCACAGGCAGTATGCGACTGGCCCGCCTGTGCATTCGCAAAGGAGCTTATCGAAGCGTACCCCAAGGCGAAGGTTGTGCTTACAGGACGCGATGTCGACTCGTGGCACGCGTCGACAATGCGACGGTGTACTGGAGAGTGACGGACCCCGAGCTTCGCATCTTGTCCCGCTTCAGCTGGGCTGCTAGCATGTACTATCCGATGCTGAAGAAGTTCTTCGATACGTTTTTCGAAGGAAATTTCCCCGAGAAAGGGAAGGCAGTTTTCACACGTCATTACGCCGAAGTTAAAGCTATGGTGCCTAAAGAGAAGCTACTCGAGTATAGAGTCACTGACGGCTGGGAGCCACTGTGTAAATTCCTCGGCGAGTCTGTACCGACGGACTACCCCTTTCCAAACGTCAACGACAACAAGAACTTCGTGTCACGATCGCGCTGGAGGAATAGATGTCAGATGCTTAACGTTGCGGCGCAGGTTGTGGAGATGCTGCTGATAATTGGTTTGGCGTGGTACTTGGTATTCCGTATTCAGTGGAATATGTTTTGACTTAGCTTGTTATATAATTTTTAGATTTGAGATGAAGATAGTGGTGTTATGGTGTTGATCCTATGTTCAAGATATCATGGTGGTAGAATATAACGAACGAAGATTGGCTGGGGAGTGTCGTGTTAGACGTACGTACTTGAGGTACCTAGTTCCTTATTTGCAATGATTCTTTTTATCTACCTATCTATAAAAATGCCTATCAGAATATCTGGTATCTTGAATGTTAAATGATATATGTGTTAATAGAGTCCCTACAAAAGAGCTGTCTAAGTTCATCCCTGTCATACACACTGCATTCTACAAATTGCTACGAGATCATCATAGGTGCGTGCATCATCATTCTTCGAATTTGATGATGTGAAATGGTAAAAAAATAAATCTTATGAATTGGTATATGGTATACATAAAAAAATATTAATTTGGTACAGATGGCAATCGCCAATAAACTGTTGGCCTATTCCAAGCTACGATCCCTACCCGCAACAAACGGCTATAACGAGAGCACCCAGCACAATACAAGCTGAGTTGATAGACCTTCACCATCCATGTAGCTCAAGACCCGGTAGGTTTTAACTGTGATGTATTAGTAAATTGCATATGTACCGTGAGGGTATAAGTCTTACCTGTTCTTCCATCTGTTCTACACCAATCGGTTCACTAACACCCAGCATGTATCTTTCGGAATGTACTGCCACCGCTCTCAAATACTGAGGATATTGGTCGAGTATTTCGAATTCCGTTTCGAATCCCAAACGCTCCGTTCGATTCAACTCTTTCCAGTTGTCGTCAGTAACGTTAAGGTCCTCAGACCCCTGAAGAATCCAATTAGAGACCTCGGTTGCTCCATTCCAACTGACGTAGAAGCTCCAATTCCTTCCACTGTTCTTTCTGATAGCTGACGTGGGACTCGTCTTCGGCATACCATGCCATTCGTACTTATATACTCGGTAAGATTGGACTTCCGCCGTGCCAAACCTGCTCTCGGGTCCGAAATGTGTGTCGCAGAGGACGTCGCCGTTGCCAGCAAATTCTGTAAATGCTGCAGAATTGCCATAGCCGAGAAGCACGTTCCCATTAGGGAGTGATTGAAAAGACCCTTGGGATATACCATGAATCTTGTGTGGGTTAAAATATTCCGCAACAACAGACACGGTCATGGATTTTTCGTCAATTTTGAGTTTCAAGCCGCGGGTCAGTGCTATGTCGCGATGAACATCGTCAACTCCATTGTCGAAGATGGTGATTGTATCTTTACCAGACCATCGCGCGTCATGCTGGTAAGCGAAGTTCGTCGCAGTACCGTTCGAAAGGTCTTGGAACATGTTCCTCTTGCCACCAAGAATCCATATTATTTCACCGGTGGTGCCGTTGATATATGTCAGACTATGCATATAACGACTTGAAGTGAGGTAATTTCCTCGCGAGTCCTTGTCGATACTGTTCATATGGAAGAAGTCGTACGCACGGTCTCCCTCTCCATCGCCACCGATCTCTCTGTAACTGTCGATCAAGTTCCAATGGTCTGAAGCCTGCCATTGGAATATGGCTAACCCTGTCTCAAGATCGATTTCCTGAATCACACAGTCCCACACCGGTCCAATACGAGTCTTTCCAACTTCGGTAAGATCCCGTTGGACCACATTGTATACTGTAATTAGGGCAGTTCCGGCTTCGGTGATTCGGAAGTCGTGTAAATCCGCATCGAGTCCATAGGCCGCCCTAACTTCTCTAAATAGGGAATATGTTTTATCCAACTAGCTTCTGTTAGTAAGTGAGTCGTATGAAGGGACTGAATATAGGTAATGTGTATTATACCATTATGATAGTACCAGCACCGTGTCCGCCAACTGCATCATTTCCAGCCCAGAAAGTCAAGTACTTCTCCCCTTTGTATTCTTGCACCATTAAGTTATATAACTGTTGCCCATTCCACCCGGATGTCCAATAATTAAATCGCCGTTGCTGTCAAGAATAGTTGCTTGAGGCTCATGAGTAGCACCACCTCGGGGAGTTAGAAGAGTGTACAGCGACGAATCGCATGCCTTGCTTGACTGTAATACATCGAGCTTAGGTACTTCGAGTTGAGTGGCAGACTTGAATACCATTAACGGATGTGGCCCGTAGGCATTACGTTCGTAGCCAAAATCATACGAACTATCAGAAGGCCTCGATGGCATCCCGTTGACAGCGCTAATGACAGCAAGAAAGGAAGTACATGATAAGTGCATCATAGTGTTAAGTTACCAAGTATTCAACGTCGATATCAAATTCATAGCACTAATATAACGTAAGGAATAAGGCAATGGATATCCTGGGGATATCCCACATAATGAGCATACCTTGAACTTATCGCAAATTCTATCTCCTGCTGCGATTCAAACTACGTACCGTACGAGTACGTATGCCGGCCGATTCCACTTGGATCTGGCCCGGCTACATAGGAGACATTCTAGGGAGTGCTCTAAGCATATTTCTCAAGTGTCATAAATTGTGTTTCGAAACACTGCTGACGAAAATAGCATGAGACTCGAGCTGGGTTGGCTAATACCAGGTAGTTGTGGGTGGCAGTCTCCACTGTGGTATCTAGCATTACGTTGACACGCGGCCCGTAAGATCATTTTCTACTCTAGGCGCGGGCTCCACGCCCCCCTTTTTTACCCTATGAATCCCGGCACATCCAACGCTTCATACGGGCTTGTATTGTTATCCTGGAATGATAGGTTAACTACAGTTGCTATTTTAAACAAGCAGTTGTTACGTAGACTCAGAGTAGTTTGGCGATGATGCAGACAACTTCGTAAGTAACTAAAATAACTGGTAGCGGCACCGGTGTTCATCTTGTTACTTCATTTAATTTTGACCAATAGTTCGAAATGCTGTAGTATTTACGCATATAACGAGTATAATAACTATGAAGACATCTAAATAAATCACTATATTCCTATAGATGCTCATCTTCTATTTTCCCTTCAATTAATTTCTTCAGTTTCACACTACATTTCCATCTGTATGGTCAGTTTAACTTCATAACTCCAAGTCACGATGCAACATGCTACAATGGCATCAATGGTATCGGCATTCTCTAAGAGTGATGGGAAATACAGAACCTCCGACGAGATACCCGCCTTGGTTAAAGTTAACAATAAGTATTCTCAGGATAGCATAGAATCACAATATCCCAAGACACAACCCAATGACACATCCTGGATGTCTCTCCCTCGCAAAGACCAATTAGCAATACTTTTCCTATGTCGCCTAGTCGATTTCCTACAGGTAGCATCTCTACAGGCTTATATCTTCTTCCAACTTAAAGCCATTGATAATACCCTCTCCGACTCCGAGATATCAGATCAGTCAGGCATACTCCAAGGTGCTTTTACCGGAGCACAAGTCCTTACTGCGTTTCTCTGGGGTAAAGTTGCGGATGCTAGCTGGTGTGGACGAAAGAAAGTACTCCTTATTGGACTCTTCGGAACAGCAATTTCGTGTCTGGGTTACGGATTTGCAACTAGCTTCTCCTGGGCTGTGTTTTGGCGCGCCGCTGGAGGTGGTGTCAATGGAACTGTGGGAATAATGTGAGTAAACAGGTATCCTAAATATTTAATAGCATCAATGATTTACTAAATTGGTTGTTACGTAGACGGACCATGATTGCCGAGATCACAGTCGAGAGAAAATATCAGTCTCGAGCCTTTTTGATACTGCCCATTAGCTTTAGTCTAGCAAATATATTAGGACCTCGTAAGTTACTATCTTAAGTTTTAGAATTATTAAAGTATAGTATTCTAATACTATTCCAGTTATGGGGGGGTTACTAGCGGATCCCGCAGCATCACTTCCATACCTTTTTGACGAGGGCGCTATTTGGAATTTCGGCTGGATTCAGCAGTATCCTTATGCGCTACCGAGCGTCCTCAACGCCATAACCTTAGCAATCACAGGTTTAGTAGTATTCTTTGCTCTTGAAGAGGTAAGCTGTTTCGTATATCCTATTGTTAGGTTTAGCTAACATAAATGATAGACTTCAAGCGAGAGAAAGGGGAAAAGAGACGTTGGCTTATATCTTGCTTCCCGTCTAAAGAGCATCGCGTTCCGCAAGCCTTCAGCAGAGAGTGGTTATTTTAAACTCCAGCCATGGAATACTCCCGACAGTCCAGTCGAGTACAGAGAAGATAGCGAGGGGCCGTCCACCTACGAGAAACCGAAACCTAAGAGAAATGGAAGAACGCTGCCGTTTAGTCGCGTGTGGACACGAAATGTTATATTTACATTAATAACGGAAGCATTCTACGACTTTCAGCTCGGCGCATTCACTAACATATGGACGCTCTTCCTTTCCTCACCCCCTCATCGCCGAATGAGACTACATCACGATCCTTACCATGGATATTTACAGGGCGGGCTCGGTATGCCTGCTGCAACAGTTGGGGCTGCGACATCTATCTTGGGAATTTTAGGCATGATTCTTCAGATTTTCTTCTACCCCCTGTCCATGCACGCTTGGGTACCTTGCGCGGGTTCCGGTGGTTTTTGCCATTATTCCCCATCGCGTACTTTCTCACACCATACCTTGCCATCATGCCATCATCCTCCGAGCCATCGGAGCCTGCCTCAGGTCCTATAATATGGATATACATGACGTTCATCCAACTCCTTCAAGTTACTGCACGTACAATCACACTGCCAGCTAGCATTATATTGTTAAACAACTGTAGTCCTCACCCAAGCGTGCTAGGTCTCATTCACGGCCTCGGACAAAGTGTTTCAGCAAGTTTTCGGACGATTGGGCCCATTGTAGGCGGATGGTGGTATGGTTCAGGTCTGGAAATGGGGATGGTGGGTTGGAGCTGGTGGGCTATTGCATTTATTTCGGCTTTAGGTTGCGCATCTGCGATGCTTGTCTATGAAGGAACTGGTCACGAGATCTTTCTCGAAGGCGAAAAGGACGAGGACTATTCGGGGTAGCAGTAGTTTATTATGCACATGTTTCTTTCTATCTGCTAACCAAATAATTACTATTACTGGTGGTGAATTCGTCTTCGTATCCAAAGCTCTACCCGCCTTGGGTTCCTTCTAGCGCACACCCAAGAACTGAAACTAAGAATTTCTTTCCCGATCAGGATGCGACCCATGATCGGATTGGAGCGCCTATGTCGAAAGACCAGGTTCTCCGCATGGACTGTTTTTATATACCGAATTTAAGGAGGTGGAGTCAGGAACATCATCGCCAAACCAGGTTTATCGTAGCATCAAGCTGAATGTTATTTATGTAATTGCTATAATTTTCCCGTCCATTGAAAATTTGATGCTAACTTCCGTCTTCTTCGCATAGTTGGGGTCATGTATATATTAGTTCCCATAGTTATTTCGTCAATCAAGTTGATTCTAAACTTTAGAGTAGTAAACGAGCACATGTCGATCGTAATCATGCGTACTGTTTTTACTGTCCTTGTAGCGGCGTTAGCTAGCACTGTAGTTGCGAGTCCTACAGTACCGCGGCAAGCTTCTAACTACGTCGGTTACCTCATCTCGACTTTTTCTGATGTAAATCCAAAGATCCAATTCCATCTCTCAAACGGAAACAGTGCATCAAGCTTCAAGTTCTTAAATAAGGGAAATGCTGTCTTAGCTTCAACTGTGGGGTCGAAAGCTGTTCGAGATATTTTCCTCGCCACGAATTCTGCTAGGTCTGAGTATTATTTACTTGCTACCGGTAAGACTTTTAAGACGTCAATTTCTACGGCTTATCTTACTAAAATATCTCGCAGACCTCGATGTTAAAGCTTCGGGATTTTCATGGGACATAGCTACTAGACAAGGGAGCCGTGGGATTGTCGTTTGGAAATCATCTAACCTAGTCGATTGGTCAGAATCATCACTTAGAACGTGCGTATTCCATTTCGTGCCTAGATGCCAGAGTATTCTAATAATGTCCTACTTTAGGGTTGAAAAGGATACTGCGGGCATGGTTTGGGCGCCTTCAGCAGTATGGGACGATGAAACCTCTCAATATTACCTATTCTGGGCTTCGCGACATTACTCTTCTTCGGATACGAAGCATACAGGGACAGCTACACTTGACAAAATCCGCTACGCAACTACGAAAGACTTCGCCACCTTCAGTGAGCCACGCGACTACCTGGCTCCTGCGGATACCCCCTTGATAGATCAAGAATTCCAATACCTTGGAACACCAGGGGCCTTCACTCGATTCTACAAGAATGAGACGACTAGTCAGATATCCCAAGATATCACTTCCGATGGCCTTTTCGGCACCTGGACCCATGTAGGCGACCATATTACATCAGACTCTCAACGTGAAGGTCCGGCATCGTTTGCCGACAACGTTACCCCAGGCCTCTACCACCTACTACTTGATGACTACACACAATATATTCCATACGAAACTTCAGACATCAAGTCTGCATCGAGCTGGAAAAGGTCGAGCACATCTGGATTTCCTACAGGGTTGAAACATGGTTCTGTAACACCGTTAACGCAAAAGGAATACGATGCCGTAGCAGCGGCATATCCAGCGTAGGGTATTAGTGTCTGGGTGTTGGATAACTTTTGATTGTAAAGTTTTACCTAATATCCTAGTAACAGATTCAATGAACGTCATAATTATATTTCACTCATATCTAGAAAGCCAAGTTATAGATATAAACAAAAAGTACCAAAAAGAAACTAGGGTATTCTACCAGGCTAAAACTCTCAATTACGGAATTTAAAGAACGGTCAAAAAGGAAAACATTTATAATATGAATGGGATTAGAAACACGACTCAGAATGCAGCCTGATGATCACATACACAGACTTAAAGTCCTTGATATAGAGGCTCCATTTTGTCTTGAACTCATTAGCCGCATATACATGACGGTCCTCACCATCCAGATAAACGCCATTACTAAATTAGAATTCCACGTACAAGAGTCCATAACAATAATTCATAGCTTCATCTAGCTATTAACTGTATCGATTAGTTGGCCCCTTTCCGTATTGGACGCTCAGGCAATGATATCTATCTACCATGATTCGTATACCGAGGCAGCAGATAATACATTCATCTATGGGGGGTTTAATCCGTTAATTTTGATCGAGAGCTGACCAATCACAATGTCAACGCAACCTCTTTCCTCTAGGCATTTGAAGTTATCGTCCAATACATGTACTGTGTGAAGGTACGACGGATATAAGCATATGTAAAATTTGATCCAATTAGAAAAGGGGTACAATAATATTTACCATCACATATCATAAATTAGGTTCCTATCTTATAAGGGCTGCATTAGAGACTTTGGGATACATAACCCAGGATGACGACAGTATTTCACAACATCAATATATTAACTTGCTCGTTGAATCTTTCCTTTTTTGTGAGTAGCTATAAGCCTGTCAAGATTTCAGCTAAGAGGCTACCTCCTTGGTATGTTACACGTTATTATAAACTTTTGTCTTGTGATATTCCTTCATCCCATTTTCAACCACTTGCATTAAAGTTGGTGTTGTGTGACGTTATTACACATTTATAGTAGTCCTGCACTGTGTACAGTATAAACAGATACTTTACTAGGACAAATGTTTATGGAACCATTCCCATTCGCTTCCCAATGACCAGTCAGTATGGATGATGTTAGAGCCAAGACCACAAGCGGAACGATAACAACGTTGTAATACACAAAATCAAGTCGGTGTCTATCTGCCTCTAAATATTTAAGCATTGTTCATTCAACTCATAGTTGGTATATAATAACGAGTATATATTTCATCTGCTTATTGGTGGGCTTACGTCTACCACGTTGGATACATGTGTATTCTCTGTGAAGTATCAGGAGGCGTTTGCATTTAAAAGGGCTTCGTGCATATTGAGAAGAGTCATGTTATGGGTCATTTGATAACCTTTATGCAAGGCGTTTACCACGGGTGGTCTCTCGCTTGTTGGTAATGTTGGATAACACACAATCCAGAGAATTAGGTTGTTATCATGATTTTGTCTACTGCACTATGTAGAGACTAGAAATATCACCAAAATAAGCAGTTCATAGGCGCCGAGTGATAACATGCTAATATTCGGCCCATTCATGCGGAAGAAAAGGTAACCTTACCTCGAGCGCCGCAAACTTGCTTCGAGATCCGTGCCAATCAATCACGATGCTACCTTACAATCAGCCACGATATGTTATGGCTTACCTACTCCTCACTCCTCCCCCCACATATACCTACAGTTACATTTTCTAGTAAGGCTGGGAGGTGTCTCAGATACCACCATTCGTAAGTACAGCTGTAAGCCCAGTACGACTAACAACAGTATACATATCTTAGGTACTTAGGTACGTACCTACCTTGGGAGGTAGTATGCAACGGAACGGGCCGTAGCTAGGACTCTCAGAAAATCCGGGGTTTAGGGACGGGGCGTAGTCTATAAGACGTAATCATATAGCCATATAATTAGTAGCCAATTAACTACCTCTTAGCCAACAATGTAACCAACTTATATGCCTACCTAGGTAGACACTTTCGTAAGAGAGCCAATACATCTCAATTAGAGATAAGGGTTTTTTGTCTATAAGTAGTCTATTAGTATACGAGACATTAATGTATTGACATGTGCTGTACTACTACAACATCAAGCAGAACAGCGTTTTTGTAAAATATATCATGGGCTTAGGTGTAACAGTTACCTTACGTACTCAACCTGTGTAGGTAATTTAGACCGAGCTACGGTAGATAATGAGTTACTATGCGCCTACAACATATGAGGTAGTTAATTAAGCCTTGCGTTCTTCGTCAGTGAGGAAGGATTTAGAAGGACGAATCTAATACTGCGTCATAAGTTGTGCTCCCTAGAATAATATATCGAATACCAATCATAGAACTTTGTCTAATCTACACACTATAAAGCCATCTCTAAGCCTACACATTACAACATAAAGTAGATTCTCAAAACAGGTATGTAGGACTTCCACGTCTATTAATATCTAGTTATGGTTAATCTATGGTTATGTATCTGCAAGATTCTCTTTGCCGAATACGACACGCCACTCCCTTCCCGGATGTCTAGTTACTATTTCAATGTCTAAATGGCCCGAGTAGGTAGCCTTAGGAATGGGCAACGCGGTCGGCAAGGGAATGACTTTCTTCGGTGGTATCCAGGACTGCCCGCTTACAGGGCGCAAGTCAAAGCGCATGATTGTTAGCGCTAGTAATGATAAGATTTCTTGGCTGGCGAGATGTCGACCTGGGCACAATGATGAGCCGCCGCCGAAGAGGCGGTTGGCGGGGCCCTTTTCAGGGTTGATGTTATCGGTATGATTCTTCGCGTGTGGAATACTTTTCCGATTACTGTCAGGAGTAATCTGGCTATCGCTAGGACCATCGTTTTTCAAGAAACGGAGGTGGTTAAACTCTGTCGCCGACGGGCCCCATGCAGACACGTCGCTGTGCATGACGGATCCTACGACCATTGTTGTGCTACCCTTCTTTAATAGATACCTGTCTAGACGAGTGTCACTCGTGACCACGCGGGCTGAGATACCGACGTGGTTGTATCGTAGAACTTCATACCAGGTGGACATGATGACCGGGCAGACCCGGCGGTTCGTCAGCTGCGACAGATCGATGGTGTGGACCTCCTTTTCGAAAATCTGTCCATCAGTTCCTTTCTGCTGTACAACGTTTATGGTAACTACCTGCTCTATCTCTGTTCGACAGTCTGCCAGCACGGTGGTATCTGAGATAACGTGCCACAGCATCCAAAATGCCCCGGGGATTGTGTTGCTCACACGGGACGCAACATGACCTAGTTCGCTGCGCGCTATATCGTTGAGCGGAAGTCCTTGAGACACATTGAAGTTGTAACAGGCTTGTACCAAGCATAGATTGGGAATGCCAGGAATTCGATGGTGGCCTTGTTCATAGTACCGGGAGAACTCCTGCACTAGCATTTCGCGGGCTTTGAAGCTGGATCGACCTTGGGGAGATAGTTTATGCATTTTCATCAATAGTAGCATTATACCTTCCTCAAACTCACTGGTCATCAAGTTAGTTCATTGGGGCTGAAGCCTAGAGGAATAAGAAAAGAATTCGTGAACCACTCACTACCAAGCATCCTCGTTAGCAGCGCAACGAAATGGGTTATGTGGTCCATAGATAGCTTCTGTGGTAGCAAGGAACATCTCGTGGCGAATCCAATGCCACAAGTCTACCTTGACCTTTCCATTCGTATTCTCAAGCCTGTTCATTGACGCTAAAAGCACCTGGACCGCTGCCCTGTTGATAGACTCGAGCCCCGTCCCGGGAGAGAGCGAGGGGTAGGAGATTCTTAAAAATCGTCCGAAGTAAGATTCGCGCCCTACTTGATTACCGTTGATGAGGTCCATCCCTTCTTTGCTCCCACCACAAATACCAGCCATGGCCTGGGCCGGAACGGGCTCGAAAATGATGGTGTGCTTCTGCCTTTGCATGGGAGGTATGAGTGTAGGGTCATTGATCACATATATCCGAGAGCCGGGGAGACGGAGAGTATAAATCGGTACATGAGGATATTTGTTTCTGTAATTATAGGGAGGATTAGGATTGATCTATTCTTCATTTGTGCGGTATTGAACGGAATACTTAAGCACCCAAATAAACTTGAATGAAAGGTATATGAGTTCTAACCTTAACTGAACCATGAAATTTGTCCTTTTCCATATAATACCAATAGCGGGTGTAAGAAAGGGTATCGAGGCTCCAAGGACAGGAGGTTCATTTCTATCTTGCGTCCACCATATGTAGAAGCGCAAAAGCGTAGAGGTACAAGCAATTAGGATTCCCGCAAAGAAAATACTGATGGAGAAACTTGACATCTTGGGCAAACTTTGCACGTAAGAAATTGAACTATTTGGATATCTTCAAGCTACCTATTCAACTTAATGCTACTAAGTCTTCATGATATATATATTAGTACAGGTTCAGGATATATCGCACCTCTCAAGCAGACGTATATATTCATGAGGATATAGAGGACTCGGCCATCAAGCCTACGACTTTCTCAGCTCGCAATATGTTGTGACAATGCATGTTGTGTTACGAAGTATTTTTGATGCGGACATGAAGTGGCATGTACTGTACTTTAATGTACATGATGACTCGGACCGCATGTATTCATATGCTTGGCGTTACACTTGGGGGCTATATGCATGTCTCCGGGATGATTGTCTAGAATGCAATCTACAAAGTGATGGCATAGCCGTGTTGATGACAGGAAGTTCCACCACTGCTGTACTTGATGGATGTTGGGACGACGGGTGTAATATCGCAAGAGACATTCGATTTGCCGAGCTCAGCCTTTGACTTCTTCAAATCGAGTTATGTGTGATATATTTGACATCTGACAAACATGTACAGTAATCTGATCGAGTTTATTTGATTGTTATCCGGAGATATCAACACTGAAACCAAAGTCACCTATCTTATTACAGCTACCTATGCTTTCATGCTTGTGTTATTGTATTGAACGCACTTAGAAGCTTTAGTAACTATAGTATTTAACAATTTCAATTCTTACATGATGAACTTACATCACGAGCTCTTGACAACATTCTCGCTAGAGTTCTTGAACCCAAGGGCATCAAATAAACCAAACCACATACCTTATCTTCAGTCTGACTATAGCCTTTGGGCCGTTTCTGTTATCCTCGCGGGACTCTTGCTCGGAGTGAACTTTGTGCGAACATGGCGCAGGTATCATTCCAGTTATCAATTTCAAGACAGTGATAAGTTATCCAACCAAACAGAAATTCCTGCTCTTCTCCCCTCATTGATTCCCTTTATCGGGAACGTAATATCGTTCTCATGGGATACTGCATCATTCATACGCTATGCTACGTGAGTATTGGTGTCATACCTTTAAAACTCTTAAGAGTATATGTTTGACATTTGGTAATAGGACCTACGCGAATATCTCAAGACCCTGCCGCGTCTCTATTTTCCCCGGCTTCCAGATATACTTATTTCAGGACCGTGAAACCATTAAACAGATATTGAAGCACCCGAATATTGGCAGCACTGTTCCCGTCTACCTCTTCGTCCTTAGGCGCTTCTTTGGAATGCCTGAACGGACAATAAAAGTTTACAAGGCTGACAACTCTGGCCTGGGGTCTAAACCGCTTCAGGGCTCTAATGTAGAACCTGACTCTCGTCCTTTTCATGTTACACATAAGGATCTAACCTACGGCCTTACGGGCCCTGGGCTCGGTCCAAACGTGCGGCGGTATATTGGGGGCTACGCCAAGCACGTACAACTATATGGCGATGGCAGACTTTGCAAAACATCACCACATAGCTCTGGATGGATCGAATTCCCCGACCTCTTTCACTTCACCCAACACACCGTCGGGTGTGCCATAATTTCGGCTCACTTCGGTTCAGACCTCCTGAGAATCCACTCGGGCTTCATGGATGACCTGTGGGCAGTCGACGCTGGCTTCCCATGGTTTGCCCGGTGTGTTCCGCGGTTTCTACGGCCGGGGCCGTACCGTGCCCGTGATAGGCTGATCAGTAATCTGATGGACTGGTATGCATATGCTCGAGATCGTTTTGACGGGTCTGCAATAGACGAAGATGGCGACGGTGACCCGGCCTGGGGGTCAGGTCTCAGCAGACGTCGTCAGAAGACGCTTAGGGAGATTAGGGAACACGATGATCGTGCTATTGCCAGTTTGGATTTAGGACATTCTTGGGGGTAAGTTGAATTTTCTGTCTGAGAATCCTGTCATCTTCTACGTGGCTGTTGGTAAGAGCGGAATCTAATCTATGACTTTCTATATGATATAGATCAACTGTCAACATCACATCTACTTTTCATGGCCACCTATTACGTATTCTCTTCTGGTCCTCTCCTGAGTCGCCTGCGCACAAGTCTCACTAAGACTCTCGGCACCAATCGCATCCACAACAAGCCTAATGATTCACAACCAGACAAGAACATCTTAGATCTTTTAGACCCCAAGGTCCTACAATCAAATTCATTGCTCTGCTCCATCTACGCTGAAACATTGCGCCTACACGGAACATCACACCTCATTTTCCGTGCATCCGCCGACGCGCATCTCGGCCGCTGGTTGCTACCACGCGGTTCCATCGGCTTGATTAGCCCGGGCGTCTTGCATCAGGATGCCAAATTTTGGAATACGTGCGATGGCCAGCATCCTATCTCCGAGTTCTGGTCCGACAGATTCCTGGTATACCCTAATGATCCAAACAGCGGGCCCGTGAGCCCGGTATATCGGGACATATCTTACTCGAGCCCGAAAAAGAGGCAAGATAACGTCGACAATGATAACAATCAGCCATACTTCACTATGGATGGAACGGAAGGGGCCTGGTACCCTTACGGAGGTATGTGAGACCCAAAGTCGACTACATCTACTTGTGACATGGTTAACTAATGTTATTTAATAAACTCTCAGGCGGCGAGGGTATATGCTTGGGCCGTTTCTTGGCTAAGAATTCCATCCTAGCTACGCTGGCCTACTTAGTGCTGGAGTTTGACATAGAGCCGCAGGTGGAGTCCATGGTCGTCAACTCCTGGAGATTTGGGTTAAGTGTCAACCAGCCGAGATACACCACCCCATTTAAAATTAGGAGGAGGCCCTCAGATAAAGAGTAGGGAGGTTCATACGATTTTTAGGATTACTTATTTAGGTGCTGAGGAATGATAGCTAAATGGATGTTGTATCGGTAAAGATTTGTTAGATTTTTTACATTAGGTGCCTCCTAGTCATCACTGTTAGGTGACCTGAAACCCCTATTTTTCTGAAATTACTGGTGCATAACGCGTTCTCACGATCTCAATACAATCAATTAGGTCATTAGAAATATCATGTATATTGCTTCATCTCAACGTCTTAATAATACGTATCGACTTTGTGACAGTAAAGTACATTGACCCGGTGGCGTAGATACCTACAATGAAACCCCTATCTCGTAGAAGCATCCTCAAAACTCCACCGACATTATTTCGGCTAACTATCATCCGTGTAGCAGTTGCAAATAAATCCCGGCTGGATACTAATATAGTATGCTTACTTCTGTTCTAATAACTCGGTTTCTCGTTGCCCTGAGAATGCAACGCGCCACGTTCGACCACTTGCCTCAGGACGGGGTATAAGTTTAATATCGATGTCATCGTCAGGCTGCTCCATAGCCTCTGCTTGGGATGATTTGGCGGTTGAGGGGAGCACCCAAGGCATCCCATTAGCCGGTTGGACATCAAACCGAAGCAGTAACAGGGTAGCCAGCAATAAGATCTCGCTTGTGGCAAAGTGACGTCCAGGGCAAAGCGTCGTACCCCCGCCAAACCCGCGGAAGGCGACGGCGTTGATGCGCTTACCACCATTTTGCTGCTTCATGAAACGCTTGTGGTAGAACTCGTTCACGTTCTCTCCCCAAACGGCCGGGTTTTTGTGCTGAACTCTAGCAGACAGCATGACAAGACCGCCTTTCTTAAGTAGATACTTATTATCTAGTACATGGTCCTCCGAGACGACGCGCACCGAATTAGCCATGCCATGGTAGCGAAAAACCTCGTGGTAGGTAGAAAGAAGGATCGGACATGAGTTCAGAATGAAGCTGAGATGGATTGTGGAGGTCCCGTCAGGGTCATTCTGGACAGCTTGCTTTACTTCATCGCGGCACTCTTGTAAGACGACTGGGTCACTAAAGATGTGATAAATCACCCAGAATGCAGAAGGGGAGGTGTTGGCGACGTTATTGAAAACAGTGCCTAATATTAGGCGTGGAATGTCGATTTCAGGTATCTTCTGGTCAATGCAGTGTTTGGTGAACTGTTGGATATAAGCAGATCCTTGCTTATAGCTGCCGTCTTCATAATACTTTACGAAGCTCTTGATGAGATTGTCGCGGCTCTGGATTGCTGTTCGAAAGAAAATATTTTGTGGGAAAATATCTAGCATAAGGAACATAAGAGCTGGATGATATTTGCTAATGACTAAGGTCAGTTCTTGTAGCATAGACCTTTGGGTGTATAAATATTTACTTACTGCCAGTCCTCGAGATTTGAGGTATCTTGCATCGGATTAGATGGCCCATACACGGCATCTGTAGTAGCGCGCATGATTTGCTTGTCGATCCACGCGAACATGGATATAGTTGTCGGTGCATCTGGCCCCTTTAGAGCATTGTCAAATGTCTCAAATGCTTTAGCGTTTAAAGCATCTAATGCCGGGCCGTGACTTGTTGTATGATGGGTAGCCTTAACCATACCGTTGACGAAGCCGGACTCGGTGACCATATCACGTTCCATAATGGCGATTGAATCTTTGCTTACGCCCATGGCTGCCTGCGCTGCTTTGACCTGGATAGGTGCAAATATTAAGGTACGCCATTGACGCTGTACCACCGGGATAAGTTCTAGAGAGTTGATGACATAAATCCGAGTACCAGGGATCCTCAGAGTATAGATGGGCAAGTTATGATAACGTTTCCTTCAGCCGACATGTAATATGTCTTATTTAGAGCTCACCATCAGATGCGAATTACGATGTGGGAACATCACTTACCTCATAGACGAATAAAAGTCCATACTCCATCGCACCATGCCGAGCAAGGGACTGAAGAAGGGGATAGAGTTAGAGACAGTCGGAGGCTCTTTATCATCCTGGGTTAGATGTAAAAGCGCCCAAAGAAAGACATAAGTCGCGACGCCACTAAAGGCTATCGCAACCAATGCGCTCGACATTTTGCAAAATGAAGCTGACCCGACTGAACTGTACGTTGGAAAGAGATGCGAGGGATGGATATTGATAACGAGTTGCAATAATCCCTAGGCTTCACATAATCAGCTTGTTTTTTTCTTCTAAATATTACAAGCGGGTAGAAACTTGCTTCCTACATGTTAAGGGTATCAAAGCTGTAAGGGATGCCAATTGCCATGCGGCTGTTAGGAATAGGGGCGGAACTGGAGATGGAGACTTGCATCGTGGGGGCCGGTTTGCAATACTAGGTACCTAAATACACTACCTTAGGTACCTTAAGTTGGGTTAGGTACCTTAGGATATAGGTACCAGGTACCTAAGGGATTGCTGTTATAGTGGAGCGCGGGGTAACGCATATAGGTAATACAGAATTAGGGGAGCAGTGATTTGGCTATTTCTGAAATCTTTATGGCTTAATGGTTAGGTACCTCTTAAGTTAGTTCTTGTCAATTGATGAATAACTTTTGTAAGGTACTTCATAGTAAATTGTTCTCTTTGTTTCTTGTTAGATGGATAAGGATGTTGCATGTAATACAAAAGGGTATCATATATATGATGGGTAAAAGTTATTATTGATGATGTTTAGTACGTATTTTAATCGTAAATTAGAATATGTGAGAATATATAGGATAAGTAGGTTTGTCCTATTTAAGTTATATAATTAACGTTTTTATATTAGCAATTTTTTCTTTTTTTACATAATATATAATAGGATAAGTTTGTTATATATGTTAATTAAGGTTATAATTTTAAAACGTTTTAAACATAATAAAATTGGTTTTTTTTTATAATTTTCTTTTTTTTTTTTATTTATATTAAATTAAATTAATAACCTTTTATAAAATAATATATTTACGTTTTTAAAAACGTTTAAAATTTAATATTAAACTATAATATTATAAATTAATAATTTATTAATATTAATATTAATAATCTAAAATATTTTGTAATTAAATACGGTTTTTATTAATAAAATATTATTAAAAACGTATAAAAATAATTAAAGAAAATTTTTTAATAAATAAAAAAAAAATTTATAAATTAATAATTTAAACTTATTTATTAGATTTATTTAAAAACATAATAATTAATTAATATATATATTCTAAAATATATAACCATTATTTTATTTAATAATTTTTTCTTTTTTAAAATATATATTTATTTGTTTAAATCGATTAAAAAAACAATTAATATTATTATTTTAAATTTACTTAACTTAACTTTATAATCTTATTATAATACAATTAATATTAATAAATATTTTAAAGGTTTTATTAATATTAAATTTTATTATTATATTAATTAAATTATTTTATTTATAAATCTATTAAATATTATTAATTTTTTATTATTTATAAAATTATTAAAGTAATATAATATTAATTATTAATTATTTTTTTTTTATTATACCAAATTTAATAAGATATTTATATAATAAAAATAAATTAATATATATAATTATAAATATTACAAGAAATTAGATTTTATTAAATATTAATATTATTATTATTTTAATTATTATAATTATATTTATATTATATATTATTATATAAATTTTATTTATTAAAATATTTTAAGTAATTTATTTATATTTTATAAAATTCTAATAAATTAAGTTATTAATTATAGTAAATAATTTATTTATTATAATTTTATTAATAATAAAAATTTTATAACTTATTTAAAAATTAAAGTTTTTATTATTTATAAATAATCCATTAATAAATATAAAAATCTTTATTATAATAAAGTTTAATTTAATATATTAAAAGTTTTATAATAAGTTATTTAATTATTATTAAAATTATTTATTAAACTTATTAATTTTAATTTTATTAAGTTTTTGGTGTTAAATAATTTTACATATATTAAATATTATCTTAAATTAATAAACTAAGGCTATATAAACGTTATAGGTTTACTATTATATATATTATTAAATAATATTATTTTTTTTAATTTAAATTAACGTAATTTTTTTACTTTATTTTTTTTGGTATAAGTAAATATTATTATTATTATTAATTAAAATAATATAATTATTAAATATTAATAAAATATTTTTATTAAAATATAATTTAAATTTTATTTTAAATTTTACCTTTTTTATTTTATTTTCTTTAAATTTATTAAATACTTTATTTAATATTTTAAATATATTATTAATTTATATTTTAATTAAGTTAAATTATTTAAATAATTTTAAAATTAAAAAATATAAGTTATATATTAATATAACTATAAAAAATTTCTTTTAATAATATTTAAAATAAATTACCTATTAATATATATCAATTTTGGCTACTCCGTACAATAATTTTATAATAATTATTATAATATTTTTAAAAAATTAATCCTTAAATTTATTAAATAATTTAATAATAATTATATAATTTAAATTAATATTTAATTAAATATATATTTATATAACATTGTAAAATCATATAATTATTTTGCTTATTTTTTATTATAAAAATAAAATAAATATAACAATAATTTATTGATTAAAACGTTAAATTATTAATAATTACATAAATATTTTTTTTTTTTTTTATCGTTATAACCTTAAATAATAAATCGTAATTTCTTATATAACCTATTAATATCCTTTTTTTTAACTTTATAAATAATTTATAATTTAAAAAATTAAATATTTCTATATTTTTTTTTATTATATTTTTTAAATAAAAATATTCTTTATCCAATAAATTTTTTTATTTTCTATATATCTAACTCCTTAAACAATTATCCTAAAATAATAATCTTCCCTTTTTAACGTAATTATAACAATAATTTCATATTTACTACTTCTTTAAAAAATATATAAATTTTATTATAAAAGTTTATTTACCGAAATTTATTCTTACTTTTAAAAAATTATCTTTATAATTATCTAACTATAAATATATTAACCTTAAAAATAAATTTATTATTATTATTATATTTATAATTTAATTCTTTATTTATAAAATTTAAAATACAAATAAATTTATTTCAAAAATAAGATTTTACAATTATAATTTTAAATTTAACTAATTTTCCGTTTACTTTAACAGTATATATCTCGTTGTTTTAAATAATTAATTTATAGGATTTAATCCAGCTATTATTTTTATAATAAATTTATACTTTAAATTAAAAGGATAAATTTAACATATCCAATATATTTAATCTATTTTTTATACCTAATACATTATTAACTTACCATTTAACTTTAAATTTATAAATTTTATTTATTATTTTTTTAACTATTACAATTTAAATAATTATTAAAAGGGAATGTAAAGAGTTATTTACCAATTTTAAGTATATTTTAAATATTAATAATATTAATATTAAACCATTTAATTTTATTATATTATTAATAATTTTTATAACCATTTATAAAATATAATAAATATTAATTTAAATATTTTAAAGATTTTTTAATATTACTTTATATATTTATTATAATAGTTTATAATAACGTTTAATTTTTTTAATTAAATTATATATTTTAATAAATATCTTTTTAACAGTTATTAATAATATTTTTATATTTAAAATAAAATCATTAACCGTAAAATTTATACCTATATTAAAAATTAAATTATTAAATAATTTAAAATAAATATTTATTTATATTATTCTTAATATATCCTAAATATATTTTATTATTATATCTTTAAAAAACTTTATTATTTAAAATAATATAACTTTATTAATAATATATAAAACTAATTTATTTCTAATATATATTATATTAATATAAATATTATAATTAAAATTAATATTATTTTTTATAATAAATTTAAATTATTTTAATACGTTACCATATATTTAATATTAATAATAATATTTATTAATTTTTTTAAAAAATATTTGATTTAATTTGTTATATTTAACTTTTATAAAAACGCAATAAAATTGGTCTGTAATTAAATAATTAAAATATCTATATATTTATTATAATTTTTCTTTAATTAAATAATAATATACCATTGTTTACTTTTTATTATTAAATAAAAATTATAAATATCTTTATTTTTAAATAATAAAATAATATTTATTCTTATATATAAATATATTTTTTATATTATTTAAGAAAATTCCTAAATAATTTATATTATAAAAATATAATAAAAATAATATATTAAAAGGTATAATTTAAAATTATATAATTTTAAATAAAGTAGATATAATAATAGTACCAATATTTCTTTATTTGGCGTTATCACCAAACCATATTATATGATTTCTTATTATAAATATATCCAATTTAATATAAAGATATATACGCTATAATGCTTTTATTTACATTTTACTTCTTAATAATATTCCAATTATACCTATATTAAATAAAATATTTTAAAATATATATATATATTAATCTTTAAAATAAAAGGTAAAAAGTAAACTTAATATTATATTAATATATTACTTAAAATCATTTTTAAAAATATTTATTTTAGTAAATATATAAAAAATTATTTAATTTATAAAGATTTTAATAATTTAAAAACTATTAATTATATTATAATTTATAAAATATTATATAAAAAATAATTAAGTTTAATTATTTTTATTATTTATATCATTACCATATTATATATATTATAAATTAAAATCATTATTATTACTATTATTATTTTTATTTTTATAATTAACATTAATTCCTTTATAATTAATAAAAAATATTGTAAAGTCTTTTTTAATATTTCCTATTTTATATTTTTATATATATTAATACCATTAATTATATTTATTATATTATTTATATATAGGATATTTAATAAACTAATAATTTAATTTATTATAAATAAAATATTTTTTTTTTTTATATTTAATATATTTTTGGTTATTAAAACGTTTATTTTTGCCTTAATTTGTTTGATAAAGTTTTTAATTTTTTTAGTAAAATTGATTGGTATAATATTATTTATCTTTTATTTTAAATTTATTAAGAAAATTTTAATATATATTATTTATTATTATGTAAAAA